ATCTTACATGCTGTTGTTTCTCATGATACCTCTATGAGGTAGGTACTCTTGTGTTAATTTCTCTTCATGAGGGAGAGAGGCACAGAGGTGTTTAGTCACTTGGCTAAGTTCACCAAGAGCTGGTATGTGGGTCTGAAACCCGTAGGCTGGGTTTGGAGTCCTGCTCTTGTCTATTGTTTAAGACCATGGATAGGACTTAGAATATAATATAGGACTTACAATTTAATGCTGACTTGTTAGTTTATTGTTGAACTGAGTTTGGAATGGAGAGGGCCACTTCCCATATTCTCTGTCCCATATCACAAATAGACATTACTGATCACGATGGTACTCTTCCCTGCTGAACTAGAATGCTGCCCAGCCTGGGAATCCTTGTAGCATTCAGAGGTCATGTGAGATGAGGTCGGCTGTCTTGCATCTGCCTCGGAGTCCTCGTTTGCCCACCGTCTTCCTTTTCATGGGGCGTGGTTGTTCTGTATTTTCCCTTGGGCATAAGATCTACTTCTCCTAGGTAATTAATTTTTTTTTTAAATCCTCACCTGAGGACATTTTTCTGTTTTTTTGTTCAGATAGAATGGAAGGGGGGGGGGAGAGAGATATCAACATGAAAAAGACACATTGAGTGGCTGCCACCCGCACAATCCAACCAGGGCCGGGACAAGCTGCAACCGAGGTACGTGCCTTTAGCGGGAACTGAACCCGGGTCTCTGGACTGCAGGCCAACGCTCTAACCGCTGAGCCAAACTGGCCAAGGCAGCAATTAATTTTTATCTCACCAAAAGTTATTTCTCTATGTCCGTCTAGGTTCTCTTTATATTATTCTCCTTATCTTTATCCACAAAATCTATTAATTTACGTTTGCATTTATTGAAGCAGTGAATTTTAACTTAAAAAACGAAGTTGCTAAATGAGACTAATAGATGCCCTCAAAGAATTGTAAACATAAAAGCACTATTGAAGACTGGTGATTTTTTTCAAAATAGGCAATTTTATGGTAGTTTTGCTGTGAAGTAAAAAGACATTTTAGTCAAATAAGGACATTGAGAATATTGCAGTTGTATACTTAAAATTTGTTAGGTTTGGATTTGACCTTATTTAGTAACGTATTTAGTTAAGAGTTGAAGTGAATGCTATTAATTTAGTTGGGAAGGATAAGTCGTAGTTGTAATTTATTACTTAGTTTTCTTCCAATAAGTAGAAACCGGTCCCAGCAAGGCCAGATAGATGGCTAATACCTAGATTTGGCAAATCCTTTAGAATGAAGAACCTCAGTCATTGGCAACATAGTAAGGAGGGACAGGAATGTTGTCATAGGTAAAAGACCTCACAAGTGGACTAAGGCTGGGCCTGACAGAGAAGAATGCTGATTCTTGGGGCTCTGGCCTGGTCACCTGAGAGGTAGTGAGGTGTGTCTTGGCCACATCACTGGGGCTGTAGAAGCTCTTTACTTGGTGGGGAGCAGAGCCACCCACACATTTAACTGCTGCTTCTCATGATGCTGTTGCTGATGAGAGCCATCTTCTGTCAATTCAGGCATTATTGTACATATGTTCTCAATACTAAGAATAGATCTCAGACCCCTTCTGTATTTCAGGTAGCAGAAAACCTCATCCAAACTGGTTTCAGCAAAAAAGGAATTTGTTGGCTGACATGACGGGAACAGTTGTGGCGCTGATTTGGCAGAGCATGCCTGCTTCAGAGCTCAAGATGGGACTAGTGTCCATTTCTTGGCTTTGGGTTTTCTTTGTTTTTTGTTTTGTTTTTGTTTATCCTCACCCGAGGACATTTTTCCATTTTTTGTTCAGATAGAGTGGGAGGGAGGGAGAGAGAGAAAAAAACATCCACGTGAAAGAGACACATTGAGTGGTTGCTACCTGCATGACCCAACCAGGGCCGGGGACAAACTGCAACCAAGGTACGTGCTCTTAGCGGGAACTGAACCCAGGTCTCTCTGGACCACAGGCTGACGCTCTAACCGCTGAGCCAAACCGGCCAGGGCGGCTTTGAGTTTTCTCTCTTTCTCTTTCTCTTTCTCTTGATTTTAGAGAGGAAGGGAGAGAGAGAGAAACATCGCAGAACATTGACTGGCCGCCTCCTGCACGCCCCTCACTGGAGATTGGGCCCACAACCTGGGCATGTGCCCTGACTGGGAATCAAACCGATGACCTCTTGGAGCAGAGGTCAACACCCAGCCCCTGAGCCATACCAGCTAGGCTGTTTTTTCTTTTTCTGTCATTGACTGCCTTTGCTGGCTCTTCTCTTGTGTTGCAAGTTGGCTTCCAGCCATTCTCAGGGCAACATGTTTGTTTCCAGGTTCACAGTAAGTGGAAAAGTGAGCATTCTTGCGGACCGTCTTGAGATTCTCACTCTGGCTGGATCACTTCTGGTCATGTATCCAAACCTGTACTGGTGACTGCAGGGAGCGGTGGCCTCAGCCAGGCCAGGCCCCCAGGCTTTCTCCCTTGGAGGTGGTGGTCCTCAGAGAAAGATTGTGAGAAGTTCTCAGAGAGTACCAAGACCAAACCCAAGTCTGCTGTTGTGGGACAAAACCTAGGTTATAAGGGCATGGTGTTTAGGATATTTGAGTTTGATTTGATAAATAAAATAGACTCTAGACTATATAATTTTCCTTGATTTTATTTATATTTGTAATTCTGTAAAGCTTTACTACATTATATTAAGGTTTCGATGGTCTCTAGCCATAATCTGGTTTGTCCTTTGAATTAAAGCATGACTGTTGTTTTGGTTTCACTATATATAGGTAGAATCTTGTTTCAGTGACTTGAGCTACACTGTAATCTGTTTTGAATAAGAGGTGTTTTATGACCTGGATAAAAATCATACTAGTACCATTTAACCTATGAAAAAAACAAATCTTGTTATTGAGCAATTTAAAAATTGGGGATATTCACGAATTTCCATCCATTTATGGTAAGTCATTTTAAAAAGGTTTCTTTCTGCTCCTACATGAATATTCAGAGCTGTATCTTAGTACTTGGCTATGGTGTAGTGGGAACAGAATCAGAACCTGATTTGCCTCTGAGAGGAGACTACATTTGAAGCCTTCCTTACTAAAAGGCATAGAGCTGGGCGAGTATTCAGGTAACCAGTTTTGAGGTAGGCGGTATTATCCTTGTTGTTTGAATAGAATTGTCTTTAAGGCAATATGAACTTTCTTAGCAGAAATTCAAGAAGCTCCAACTTTTTACTCAGAACTCTTGATTTGTAGGGCAGCTGGATTGTAGGGTCCTGTTGCCTCTGAGACTCATCTCTTGGGGGTTTCTTGGTAATGGGGCACAGCTTGTCATTTTCCATGCTCAGGCATGATAGCTGCCCTTCCTTTTCATACCTGTGACACAGCTGGACTTTATGAGCTTCTCATGATTGGTGCATGTTAACAAACCTGTTTTGTTGTTGCTGTTCTTGTATTCAAATCTACTCTGCCAAGCACATAGCCAGGCCCTGGGATTTTTTTTTTTTTAAAGAAAGAGTTCTTTAAAAAAATTTTTTTCTTTATTGATCTTTAGACGGGGGGCATGGAGAGAGAAATAGAAACATCAACGAGAGAGAACATCTATTGGTTGCCTCCAGCATGCGCCCCGACTGGGGATTTGGCTCACAACCTGAGCATGTGCCCTGATCAGGAATTGAACTGGTGACCTTTTGGTGCATGGGTTGACGCTCAGCCAGTGAGCCACACTGGCTGGGTGGCCCTGGGATTTTATAAATGAATAAAAATGGTTCTTGCTCTTGAAGAACTTAAGTGTAAGTGAGGGGTGAAGTGGAGTAAAAAACATGAAAATGTGATTTTAATATTATACATGCTATGATGGAGGGAGTTTGTGTTGTGTAACAGTCTTCTAAATGGTGTCTTAGGTTTTATTCTTCACAGATCTGCCTGTTTATCCTTATACTTTCAAAGAACAGCCGGGAAACATTTATTTCTTAGATCATAATTCAGAGGTCATCGTCCTTACATTTCGTTAGTTTCCCTAAATGAATTACTCTGATTTTCTTCATTTCATCTCAGTTTACAAATTCATCCTATAGACTGAAACCTCCATTCATGTACTTTGTTTGGAAGAGCTTTGTATAAAGGTGGAAATTTATCCATATATGCCCTCTTTCAGAGAGGTTGGTTCCAGATTCAGTTTTTGAAATGTTCTGTTGTTGATCTCACAACTTGTTTAGTTTAGTTAAATTTGTCCGAGAACCTGTTTTGTTGTGACATACTTGATTGTAACGAATGGTAGAAACAACATGAAAGTGTTCCAGAATGTTAGACAAGGAGGGTTCTAGTACAGAAATGTAATACTAATTAATGATGCTGCTTCACCAAGACATAGCATATGTGTACCTTAGAAAGAATTGTAATGACCCCCATAGCACATCACTGAAAAGTAAATGCCATGTTCCTGCTATAGGTTTTATCAGGTACAGGGTTGCTGCTTCCAAGGATCAAGAATTTGTGAAGGTGGCAGATGGGACTAGTTGTGAAATAGTTTATGAGCTAATGAAACAACAGATAATCTCTTTTTATCAGATTCCTTTTCTTTCTATTTCCCAGGCCCTTGAAGTGCTAAATGTCTAAAATAATTTGCATACAAGTATTTGAGCTCCTGTTAACTAGCAGATTTGAAAGCTAACAGTTGCCACATGTTATTTTTTAATTGAAGCTCTAATTTATTCCTAACTTTAGTGTCTTTTTGCCTTACTTCACCATCTTCCTAGTTTTCCTCTTTCTTCCTGACTTCCTGCTTTCCCTCAAAGACAGTCACCTACTTGAGTTCAGTCTTCTCAGTCCTAAGGACTGTTAACCTTTGTTCCACGTCATCAACCCACAGGCAAGGGATGCAATTAAACCTTTTCACAAGAATAATCCTGTCTCAGTGACCTCATGCAACTTTTTATCTCAAATTCTGAAATCTCTTCATTCTTCTCATATTTTCATATTGTAATTTGGGGTCTTCACCAAATTTTGTGTCCACTTTTGTTAACAGGGTTTGCCAGCCAGCCCTCTGTCTGTACAGCCCCATCTCCAGGTATGTCTGCTCATATCTTGGAGTCCTTTATTCTTTCTTGTACTGTGGAGTCCATCTCAACTTTATTATTATTATTATTATTATTTTTATCCTCACCCGAGGACATTTTTCCATTTTTTGTTCAGATAGAGAGAGAGGAAGAGAGAGAGAGAGAGAGAAACATCGATGTGAAGGGACACAACGAGTGGCTGCCACCCACACGACCAGCCAGGGCTGGGGACAAACTGCAACCGAGGTACTTGCCCTTAGCGGAAACCGAACCTGGGTCTCTCTGTACCGCAGGCCAATGCTCCAACCGCTGAGCCAAACCGGCCAGGACTATTATTTTTTTAAATATGGTTTTATTGGTTTTTAGAGAGAGAGGGAGAGAAACATCGATATTGATTGGCTGCCTCCTGCATGCCCCCCACTGGGGATCCAGCCCGCACCCCATGTCCTGACCAGGAATCAAACTGGCAACCTCTTGGTGCATGGGTGAATGTTCAACCTGAGCCACACTGGCCAGGCTGTCTCAACTTTTAAGGCTCTATTGTCACCTTTCCTGTCACCCTCTGCAGTCTATCCCCCCCCAATATATCTCATATTGTGATGCATTTTCTTTTTTTTTTCTTCCTAGTCTCAACATAAGAAACATTCAAACCTATAGAGAATTTTTGTGAGTTTATTTGAGCCAAACTGACGACAATGGATTGAAATAATGCTCCAGAGAATGACAGTTTTGTGCCTTATTTTATACATTATAATCAAAAGAGAACATGCAAGTGGGTTACATGAAATCCACTGGTGGTTAGATCAGGGAGGTGGGAGAAAGCAAAAGGGGGGGGACACCTGAGATTGGATGAAAAGTAAAATGATAGACACATACATCTTTTACCTAGGTGGGTACAGAATAGTTAACAGTCAACAATTAACATAACAAGTGTATTAGTTGTGTCCTGCTGTATTGGTTGCGCCCTGAGGGGTCTGGAAATAAGGGGGAGTTACCCTGACATTCCAAAGGAATGGTCTGGTCGATGCACGAGACAATAGACAGACTCAGTTAAGGTAAAGATGGAATGTTAGGGAAGATTCTAGCCTTGGGCATGACTACCTGCCATAAACTGCTTTTAGTTAAAAAGTTTTAATTTCAGATCATCCTTTGTGTTTACTTTAGGTCTCTGAGTTTGCACGGCCGCCATACAGGCCTCCCCTGGGCTTGTCAGGGTGGCCCCTTTTTGTCCACACTAGGTAGGATATCAGCTCCAAAAGGGCAAGTTCTGTGTTCATTCATCGTTGTACATTCGCATTCATCTCCTGGGTCATAATTGTCATTTATTACATGCTTTCTTTGCCTTCTTTCAGCTCTGAATAATCCACCATTTGCATTCTTTGGTAGTTGAGTATTCTTACCAAGAGGTGTCCCGTGTCCCCCCCCCCCCCCCCCCTGTCTTCTTAGGCAATTTCTTTGTGCCTGAGGGTTTTATGTAAATAGGTAGGTAAATGAAACCCTGCTCAGTTATTCAAGCCAGAAAGTCGTCTCCCACATTTAAATCACCACCAGGTTTTTCCCTCAGTAACTTAAATTCCTTTTTTCTCCTATCCCCAGTGTGGGGTTAGAGCTGTGTTCTGCTCTTATCTGGACCCTGGCCTCACCTGTGCTTCTGTCCTTCCCTCCTGCTCCTGTCCTCCCCTCCTGCTCCTGCATTGCAGTCAGCAGGACACTTCCTTTCCCCTTTGACCTAAAACTCTCAGTGGCTTTCCAGTGCTCTTAGAGAAATTAAAGCATAATTCCTTAACGTGGCACCTTTGCACCATTGACAGAGCAGTGTTCTAATCTTTTGAAGGTACAGGTATGGTTTTAATAGTTTGAGAAGAAAATGTTCTAGAAGAGGACACTTATTTAGACTCTGTAGTATGAATGAGACATCTGGTGAACTATAGGTTGTCCCCACAATTGAACATGATTGGTTCCCAGAGCCTGCAACTGAAGATAAGGCAGAAGGATTTACTTTGCATTTGCCGCATTCCTTTTTTTCTCTTGCTGTCAGAGAAACCCCTCCCATGAACAAAGGTGGTACCAGTAGCCACAATCCAGACTTTTAGCTAGCCCAGTATTTAAGGTGAGAATCATGTTGTAAAAGTGAATAGGGGGAATACTTTGTACATTTATTGTTTATTGTACTGTTTGTACTTTTAATGTTGTATGTATATTTTACTTTTTCAAATTTGTCATTTTCAGTTGTTCATTTTTGCCTGTAATGTAGTGATGAAAACTTAGGGTACATTCTTCATTTTTTTGCTCCACAGCGTGGATCTCATAGATTAAAAATTAGCTTGTTATATAGTATACTTAATTCTTGTAATGGGATCACATTTCTATAAGACAGCCGTTCTCTAAGAGTGGGGAATCTTTGTAAATAAAATTATCTTTTAAAAGTTGTATCAAGTAAAACTCTATAGTACTTTGAGTGAATGTTTTAAGGATTTAACCATACAGATCAAATGAGTACCCTTCTGCAAATGTCTACAGCGTAATAATACAAAATTGCTGATTGTTAGTTTGCTGGGGATTAAAACACAAGTGATCATATTCAGGCTGTTTAGATTAGTGATTTTAATATGAAACCATTGCTTTTAGAATAATCATGGGCCAGACTGGGAAGAAGTCTGAGAAGGGACCGGTGTGTTGGAGGAAGCGCGTGAAATCCGAGTATATGCGGCTGCGGCAGCTCAAGAGGTTCAGGCGAGCCGACGAAGTGAAGGTATCGCTTGTCTCTGTGAAAGACGCACGTACAGTTGAGGATAGCTTTTTCTTCCTGAAGATGAGTTTTAATTTGAAAGGGTACAGTTTCAGTCTATCATATTTACATTATGATAGATGAAGACTTGGAAATTTAGGTCCTTGCTATGCCTTAACATAAAATTATAATATGCACATTAGTGATAACGGAAAGATTTTTCAGCCTATTTGGAATTCACTGTCTTTTTTGTATACCTTTGCATTGCTTGTGTAGACTCGGGACCCAGATATACAGGGTTTCATGTTTCTAAAGTCATTGTGATATTTTTTTTTAAATACAAAGTTAAAGGATGGAAACAGTTTTCTGTTCCCCTCCGGTTGCCAGAAAAAGAAATAAATAAAAATAACAGGTGTGGTGTTTTTGTATTATTTAAATGTGGGAAACCACTGTTTATTGTAAAATCTGTATGTGTAAGAGGGAATGTTCCTGATATTTTTGAGAAATCACTCGATTTTAACCCGCAGTAGAGATACTACAAATGTTCTAACAATGAATAATTTATTTTGTATTCTCCTTCGTTTTTTTTTTTTAAAGAGTATGTTTAGTTCCAACCGTCAGAAAATTTTGGAAAGAACGGAAATCTTAAACCAAGAATGGAAACAGCGAAGGATACAGCCTGTGCACATCCTGACTTCTGTGAGCTCATTGCGCGGGACCAGGGAGGTTGGTTAACTCACGCGCTGCAGTAATTTTCAGTGCATTCTGGTTTTGCTTTTGGGATGCTGGTTGGTTATTGAGAGGAAGTCACTGACTTTAGGATGTTCATCTCTTTATTGCCATTTCTTTTTCATATATAACAGTTGATGGATGGCTGCCTTAGTTAACACTAATACCTGTAACAGAGCTCTAGTGTATGACAGACTTTCACTGTTACTAGGCAGATTCCTAGATTTTTATAAGACTGTTGATTAATTAATTTTTTATAGTTTATTGGTTTTTAGGGCGAAGGAGGGAGAAACATCCTGGTGAGAGTACATCGATTGGCTGCCTCCTGCACTCCCCCTACTGGGAAGCCCAGGCATGTGCCCTTGACCAGGAATCTAACTGGCAACCTCCCTGTGCACTGGACGATGGATGATGCCCAAATAACTGAGCTACACTGGCCAGGGCTAAAAAATATTTTAAATTAAATACTCTTTAATGTCCTCATCAGATCATTATTTAGAGCAAGGCTTTCTGACTCAGTTGTCTTTTTTTTCCCCTTTCATATGAATTAGCTGTGCTGTAAGAAATGTCTCCTTTTTGTTCATATTCATAGACTTAAGAGTTTTTTACATTTGTTTACATTCTGAGATTTTGTATAAAAAGTTTAAATTCACTGTTGAGAACTTGGAATTTCCTTTTCTTTTGCATTTCTGAATGAACGAGTTCTTAATTACTCCAAGAAATCCTATTTTCAAAGGAAGGCAATAAACCCATGGTAGATTTGATTCAGTAACACAGGAAAACAAGTGGCAACAAGATGAAAGAAAATGGTTCTATACCATTTATCAGTATGGTTTTTGTTAAAACATTTTTAGAGAGAACATCAATTGGTTGCCTTGTGCATGTGTTTCCCACTGGGGCTGGGGATTGAACCTGCAATCCCCTTGACTGAGAATCAAACCTGTGACCCTTTAGTGTGTAGGCTGACCCTCTAACCATGGAGCCACACTGGCCAGGGCAGTAATGATTTTTATTAATGTATGCAGGGTGAAAGGGTTCTTTTCTATGCCAGTCAGACCATTCTTAAGAGGGTTAAGCATGGGGCTTCTAAGTAATTCTTTTGAAAGTTTAGTCTGGTGACCTTTTGGAAATTTTGAGGTGAAGGAAAAAGAAACCTCTTCCACACCCCCAACCCCCGGTTCCCTGGAGGAATAAATCTTAGAAATTTGGAGAAATAAAGTAGAGACACATGCAACACTTATTTTTGCCACTCATTACAAATATTAAAATGCTATCAATTTACATTAATAATAAAAATAGCAGTAATTATTCTGGTACTGTACAAGGTACTCTGCACACATTATTTCATTTAATCTTTATCATGGTTGTATTACGCCTTTCTTCTCCAGATGAGAAAACGGAGCCTTAGAAGAGAGCTAAGTTAGTTTGCTTGCTCTAATGATCTGATGTGGGCCCAGAAGAGTACACTTTGCTGAGACACATTAAAAAATTAGTAAAGTTTGCCCTGGCTGGTTTGGCTCAGTGGTTGGAGCACTGGCCTACAGACCAAAGAGTCATGGGTTCGATTCTGGCATGTACCTCGGTTGTGGTTTGGTCCCTGGCCCTGGTTGGGGTCATATGTGAGGCAACCAGTTGATGTGCCTCTCTCACGTCTGTTTCTCTCTCTCTCTTTCCCCCCCTCCTCCATCTGAAGATAAATGGAAAAATATCCTCAGATGAGGATTTTAAGACAAATAAAAACTTAAGATAATATTTTTAAAAATTAGTAAAGTTTATTATTTATATACAACTTTAGTTGCTCATATAACTTTTGGTGTTAAACTTAAGAGTACAATATATTCATACAAATATTTACTAATTGAAAATTTCTTTTAATTTTGTCCATTGGAGATAAACATCCTTGCATATAAAGATATCAGTAAGTTTATGTGAGGGACTGTGAGAAGAAATTAGCATTTTAATAAAGTTGTTTTCTCAACTTAGTACCCCATGAACGTCGAGAAACACCATCCACAAAGTAGGAGGAGAAAAGGAGGGAAGTAATCCCAGCCTCAGGAATTCAGTTTCTATTGCATGGAACTCTGGCCTGGTCAGGCACTGGTGGTTGAGCTGGTCTTGATAACTAACCTGCTTCAAATGATGCATCTCTTACTTCCCTTTCCCCACCCTCTTTCAAATCATCATCCCTGACTTCTGGAAACTAAAGAAATCTCGACATACAGTTTGTGATAAGCTTTTTGGTGGTATCACAATAAATAATAAAAGTCTTAGGGCTGGAAAGAATTTAATGATCTCTGTCTAATCTTTTCAGATGAGAATATATTCGTTTATCTTTTTCTTCAGTTTGAACCTTTCCAGTTCTTTTTCTTGAGTTTGAGCCTTTCCAGCTATATATTGATTTCTTTTATGTGCTCTGCAAGTTGGAGTCTGATGTAGGTTAGAAGCAGGATAAGTAAAAACCTATTTTGCAGACTTTCCTAGTAGTAGACTTGGCAGGGCAGTGTTGATCCAGACACCTTGCCTGTGGCTTTTAACATTTGGAAGTGCTGTTGTAACATTGTTTTAAACTGATCCTTTCTAAGTCCTGTCTTCAGTATAAATCCTTTGCAGTATGACAATGATTCAGTGACAAATTTCCGTTTTCTACGTGTCTTCTACTTTTCTGTATTTGTAGATACACTCAATTTTAAAGTTATCTGGGTTATTGTAGTAAAGAATGTCTGACAAGTTTACTTTCTAATGAAGTGTCTGCTCTAGATGCTGACTTAAGATCAAGGAGCTCTGCATTGGAACCTAGAGACCCATCTGTAGTATATTGTTTTCTTCATGTGTTTTTAAGACACTTTTTGGTATCTGTTCTTTTGGTGTTGAGATTACAGAACCTTAAGCAGTGTTACCCATGGAATTTTAATACAGAGCATGTGTCTATTTTTGTATTTTTCTGACTCCTTAAGGACAGTGACTAGACTATATGTTTTACATTTTATTTCTTTTGTTCTTCAGTTGATCTTTTTAAGGGGCTTAACAATGTCATTACCTATAAGCCAAGGGATATATACCTTATTTCTGTAATGTGTGGCTGTTCATCAAACAAGTGACTTTCCTCCTTTGTCTCCTGTCAGTCTGCATGTTGGCGGTCATATTCTTTAGGGTGTCTGTTTTTCCAGTTTTAATGAAGAAGCTGGTTTAAGAATTACTCTTGTAGTTCTTACTAGGGGGTATTTCTTTTTGTACATTTGTCCATTTCTTCCTCAAAACCCACAAGGCACTTTCCCCTTCATTGATTTTTCATATCAAGCTTTCATTGCCTGTACGTATGACGACTGAGAGGTTTGCTCAAATGATGTCTGTCCTCTGGGCAAGGGGTATGATTGGTTTTGTAATTTAAAAAATCCTGCCAATATGCATTTTTAGATTCCTGGGAGAATATAATGTTCTTGTAAGAATTCTGTGTCTTGTTTACTAATGAAAGAGTGAGAATTTTTTATGTATTTTGAAACATGGAGCTTCTTGAGAATGTTCGACATACAAGCAGCATCAGAAAGGCCTCCTAGTCCTTATATTCGTGAAGAATTAAATGTCTTTTGGACTTTTCAGTGCGTGCAGGTTTGCTCTTTTTAGTGATATCTGAAATTATTTTAAGTTTACCTGTCATTTGATATTTGTAAATTTATTTTTGGAGAGACTTCTATCAAAATAACAGAATGTGTAAGTTCTTTCATATGTTTGCAATTTGGACTTATTTTTATTGAAGGAGAGGAAAAACACTGTCTTATTTACATGTAAACACTTGATTGCATTATTTATTGACTTGGTAATGCACTTTTCTAGGTCACTTGTAAATAAATTTAGTTGCTATTTACAAAGAAAAAAATAATATGTTAGTGTACTCATTATATAATATAGTGACCTTTACTTAAATACAGTCTTAACTTTCAACGCACTAACATGCTTTCTTTCCTTTGTAAATTATGGGATTACAGAACCAGTAGGTCTGTCTCCTGAGTCTTTTGAGCAGATTTGGGAGGGAGCGAGGGCTCTTTTCTCTTGTCTTAGAAAATAAACGGATGGCTCTCCCAAGTGTCTGCTTTGATTCTCATTCTGAATGTATCCATCCTTTCTTACTTCCTGAAGGAACTGGTTTCTAAGTCATTTTCTGTTGCTGTTTGCCTCTCTTAACCACTTGTTGGTATGTACTTAGAGAATTTAGTCTTATGTTAACTCTGCTGGTCCTTCTGCCCCTGTAGCTTTTCGAATCATGCAGCCTTTGTTTCCTTTCTGGCTGAAATAGATGGAGCATTTCTTAAATGACTGTAAAGTCTTTTGAAAGGAAACTAATACAGTAAAAGTATTTCATGCTTTTCCAAAGGGTCATTTAACAAAAAAGAAAGGTCACTTATACTGTTTGAGATTATATTTTAAACCTCTAAGATATCTTATGTTTAAAGAGTGAATTCTTTAAAATGTCCTTTATTTTGTGCAACTAATATACAGGCAGAAGTTGCATTTAACTTGTTGTTTTTCTCTTGAGTCTTTGTATATAGTTTGTGTTTAAAAATTATTGTTAAATTGACTATTACAAAGATTGTCTTTTCCCAAAATGCAAAACCAAATTTTGACAAGTATTTTAAAAGTAAGCAGAACGAGCAAAAACTAAAAGAAATGCTTGTCTAGTCTGCAGTGTTAAAAAATGCTTATTGCTCTGAAGAAGAAAATTTTATTAAACCTAGAACTCTGTCACAGTTTAGCTTGATAACATAGATTGACTTAAATTCACTGCTTAAGATTATTTTCTCTTACTATATTTTATAAAATAATATCACTTGTACCATTTTGGGAGGTTGAAGCAGATTCTTGGAACAGATGTAGCAGTTTTATATCAGCTAATGTGAATATCTGCGGGGTCAGTGAAATTCCTATTATTCATTTTTCCAATTAGAAGTCATTGCAAAATTATAATTGTAAAAATTCAGGTAACACACAAATATATAAAACAAGGCAAAAGTCTCTGTGATCCAGTCCCTGTGACTTTTATTCTTTGAGAGTTCTTCTATATCTATATCTGAGAACATGTTAATAATAATGATAATGCATATTTGATTTTGGAAAAAGTTACTCCTGGACAAAATGTGCCTGTTGTTTGGGGCCATCACTTTAAAGCCCATGTCCAGCCCTGGCCGGTTTGGCTCAGCGGTTAGAGCGTCCGCCTGCGGTCCGGAGAGACCCGGGTTCGGTTCCCGCTAAGGGCATGTACCTCGGTTGCAGTTTGTCCTCGGCCCTGGTTGGTCGTGCGGGTGGCAGCCACTCGATGTGTCCCTTTCACATCGATGTTTCCCTCTCTCTCTCTCTTCCTCTCTCTCCCTCCTACTCTATCTGTACAAAAAATAGAAAAATGTCCTCGGATGAGGATTAAAAAAAATAATAAATAAATAAAGCCCATGTCCAGTCTTTACTCTTTAAGATGCATAGTGTTGGACACTATGAGTAAAACATAATTAATTGCCCTATTCTTTTTTGGGGGGGGCGTTAATCCTTACCTGAGGGAATTTTTTTTTTTTTATGTTAAATAGAGAGAGTGGAAGGGTGGGTGGTGGAGGGAGAGAGACATTGATTTGGATGCCTCTCGCACACGCCCCAACTGGGGCTGGGGTTCGAACCTGCAACCCAGGTCCCTGCCCTTGACTGGGAATCAAACCTAAGACCCTAACCACACGGACCGGGGCTGCCCTATTCTTAATTGATGGACATTTAGGTTTTTATTTTTTACTTTTCTAGTTAGTGTTTCAGTGAGTAGCCTTCATATGCATCTTTGCATCTTTTGATTAATTTTGTAGGAAGAGTTCCTAGAAATAGAATAATAACTAGGTCAAGAGGATATGCATATTTAAAATTTTAATAGAGATTACAAAATTGTCCCTCAAAAGTTTTACCTTTATACTCTTACTAGCCATTTATGGAAGCTTCTGTTTACATTCCCAATATCAAATATTATCGTCTTTTTAATCTTCAGTGTGATAGGTAAAAATTATTAGTTTCTTTGCCTCTATTTGATTCTTCAGTGAGGTTATCTGTTGTTTATGTTTCTTTTATGAATTGGCCTGTTATGGTCTTGAATCTTTTAAAATGAGGTTGGGTTTTTTTGTTAAGATTTTAAAGGACTTCTTATATATTATAAATATCAATGTATAATCATCTGTTTTGCAGATTTCCCCCTCCCCATTTTGATGTTATTTTGGTTATGCAGAAATTTTAAATGTTTATATAGTTAAATTAGAATTCTTTTGATTTCTTTCTTAAGGGCTTAGAAAGTCTTTCTCCACTTCAAGATATAAATTATCTGTCCATCTTTACTTTTAGTTCTGTTTTCATTTTTTAATTTTATTATCATTTAATGCATCAGGAATTTCCTTTGGCATAGTGAGTGGGGATTTGATTTAAATTTTTTTCCTATTGAGCTTTATACTTGTTTCAACGTTGTTTACTAAATAACCCGTGAATGATTTTAGAGCAGTTATATATCCGTGTTGCAAAGATTAACCCGATTGGTGGTCACCTGAGCAGATTTACCACCTGAGGAAGGACTTGGTGCGTCTCCTCAGAGACTCCGGCCGGCTGACAGTCTGGCATCTCTTTAACTGGGGCCTCGCTGCTCTACGTCGTCCAGCCCCGCATCCACTCACGGGAGCGAGACTTCACAGCGATTGTGTTGCCACAGCTTATGGAAACCAAGGGCTTGTATAATACTCTTTGTTCTGTTTCTTAGTTTTTGTGGGTTTCTTTTTTGTTTGTTTATTTTTCCATGAGGGAAATGGTCTTATTTTTCACTCACAGGACTCTTCTTGAATTAGGTACTTGAGTTTGCCTGTAATGGATGAACATGTCTTTGTTACCTGCGTCATGTCCTTTGTTAAGTGTTTTTAGTTTTACCAACTTATGTCCCGTAGTATTGTTCTGTTTCTGATCTCCAGTATTTTAGCAAAACTATAGATTAAGAAGAGGCATTTACCCCAATAGCCCCTTCAGACCCTGACTGCATTGGGCTTTAACAGTTAATATATTCACTAGGTTTATATATTTATGATCTCTTTCATTCAGGATTAGGTGTTTGAAGCTAGGATGCAGGAAAGACTTTTAAGCATCTAAACTTTCTGAGGTTGTATTCCAAATGTTAATATGTTCTATGTTAAATGTTACATATGGCTCTCCCTCCCCCAGAAGTGTTAAGAACTGATGCTTTTAGGGCGACATCTTTCTACTTTGCTTATATGAACTCGGGGGCAAGAGCCCTGGGCTACAGGTAGAGGTTGACTCCCCAGCCAGATGGCTATGCAACATAAATACTTAACAACAAAATAGAAATAATTTACAGGCTGGAGTGAACCACTCCTTCATTCCTTAGCTCCAACACCCTTGATTAGCTGCTTGTATTAAATACATCTGTGTCGATCAGGGTTTTTCTTTGCGCTGTATTTCTGACCCTCCTGCTGGAGCACTCCTCTCCTTGGCTCACCTCTGAACCCTCCTCCTACCTTGGTATGAGTCCTTGCTATCGAACCTCTTAACCTGACCCAAACTTGATATTTGTCTCATTACAGTTTTTCCTTCAGTACTTCCTTCATGTAAAGCAGTCTGAAATTAAGTTCCTTACATTAGCATCTCACCAGGAGGATTAGCAAATTTACAACGTGGGTGTGTTATCTTTACTCTGATCTTGAGGAATATGGGTAGTTGCAGACATCACGCTCAGCTTTTCTCTCGAGGTGGGTGGCAGCTGGTGCTCCTCCTGCCCCACTCTTTCCTGCACCTTACATGAGACAGCTCCTTATTGTTTTACTCGGAACAGCCGAAGGATATCAGACATTATCAACAGTTCATTGTGTCTGTTGCGTGAATCAATGGACCAACCAGTATCCAAGAATATTTTTGACTTGGCTAACTGACCTTTTTCCCCCTACTACAAGGAAGTCGGACTTAACCCTTCTGATGTTAAAGATTGTTCAGAAACTGGGTGGCTATGGCCATTGTCCTTTGGGATGCCTCACTGTAAGATGGGGAGTCATCTACCTCATAGGGTAGTGGTGAGTTTTAAAGAAGTTAACTTTGGTAAAGTCTCTAGGCACAGTGCTTGGCACATAGTAGGGTGTGTTAATTTCTTTCCCTTCCCTGCAGGCCATTCACCTGCTCTTCCCTCTACGATTTTCCATAACACAGTTTTTACTTGGAACCAGCCTTCTGCCAAGAGTCTCAGTTGGGTTGTGTACTCCTCCAACTCCTATTTTTGGCTTGACTTCCCTCTCCAGCTCCCAGTGGTCCAGCCACACAGTCGCCTATTGTACCAGCTGGTTGATGTAAGTCTATCCATCCTCAGAGGAACCTGGTTACTTACCAGTAAGCTGTGTTTCTCTGAAAATGTAGCATCCTTGATAATTAATGTAGTTTTTTCTTTCTTTATCATTGATGATGAATCAATCATCTATGATAACTTCCTTGTGTGATCCTCGAGTTGGAACTTAAATTAGAGAATTTAATTTGTTGTCATTGGTGGTCTCCTTGTGAACTTCTGAGTCCAGGACATGTGACTCTGATCAGGAAAAATGCTGTGGAGATCCACGAGGTCAAATTCTTTTCAGAACTCTGAGTGATAGGAGACTTAATAATGTAACTGTCAAGGATGATACATTTTCAAAGAAAAATAGTTACTGGTAAGTAACTGGGATTTTTGAGTAATTATCCTATAACTCAGTAAATAAGAATTCCCAAACTTGTTTTTACCAACAAATGCTTTTGCATTTGAATATTATTTCATAAATGAAAGGAGTATGGTTATTAGTTAAGGTTGATAGTTGAAGAATGGGATAGGTTTCTGGAGATGCTCTGTAGATAATGAGGTGGTGTAGACCTTTACTTTTCTAAATAGATGCTTTCTTAGCTTTAAAGAGAAATTCGAAGTTGAAGTCTCCAGTAGGGAGAATCAGCAAATGCAGTCCAGAAACATTTTTTGAGTGCTTACTCTTTTTTGAGACACTGTGCTGAGTATCGTTGTGAGACAGTGAGGTACAGCCACACTCTGCCTCCGCCGCTCTGCCCTCAAGAGAGCTTGTTGACTCTCGTATGATGGCGCATGGGAGAAGGACAGGTGTGGGTGGAGGTAGTACTGAGTACTTAGTTTTTGCTGTTTTATTTCTATGCTTCTGTCAGTTCTTTCTGTTCATGGGAATACTCAGCTGACCTCATTCAGTAGACCCAGAGCCTTTTCTACATGGCCAGAGCAAACAGATGAAGCAGAGCCAACATTCCTCCTGCCTAGTAGTTGAATATTAGGCTGTCTACCCTTAAGTGTGATCTTGGATTTAGATTAAAGCAGGCAAATAAGTCAGAGTTGGAGAGGCAGCTCACTCCCCTGCAACCCCCCCCCACCTCCAGGCCAGGCTTTACAGGGGGCTAATCTTCAGAATTAAAGTAATAGAATTAATTACCCCTGCCAAGTATAAAATAAAAATAAGAAACTGTAATTGTTTTGTAAGAAATGAAAGTGATTCTGTAGTTAAAATCACTGGACAGTGTATAATACTTGCCCCAAAGTTACTGGGTTAAATATTCCTACTTAGGAAGGAAGGAAGAAGACTTGGTAGTGAGAGTATAGGAGGAGGGGGCTGAGGGAGGAGATGCGATGCAGCACTCACTGCACGGCTGTAACTGATGAAGCTCTTGGGTGCTGGGGTCAGATGTAGGCTTCCATCCTGGCTTGGGAACTTACTGCCTTTCTGACTAGGCCAGTTATTTAACTTCTCTGAACCTCAATGTCCTCCTCATTTGTGATGTTGTGAAGCTAAAGGCCGAGATGAGAGTGGTTTAGATAATGTCTATAAAGCACTTAGCACAGTGCCTGCAACATAGTACGTGCTCAATAAATGTTAACTACTGTTATTGGATTATAGGACGGATGGATGAAGAATTGTGTCAGACTACAGAGTGGAATGGGAAAGATTGTGGGTTCTGGAGTACTAGTAAACTGTTCACACCTTATTTATTTGAGCTATGAGCTTTCTAGTATTATCTTTATCTTTGCCCTTTTGGAAAGCAGATTGATGGATTAATCACTGTCACAGTTCTTCCTAACTGATTTGTTCTTAAACCTTCACTTCCACTGAGGAAGGAACTACTTTGTGCTGCAGTGACTGTGACTGTGGCCAGCTTATCCCCTGGCCTGAGGAAATGCTGAGGGCCAGGTGTGGCCGCTATGCAGTGACATGCACTCTGATGTCACCAGGTCCAGTCCTGCTATTTTTAAGACCTCTTAAATAAAAATCAAAAATGTTTTACAGTTGTGTATATATTATTATTATTATTTGCTTTATTTTACAATTTCAGTTCTACTTTTTTTGGTTCTATTTTCATTGATTATAGATTATGAATGTATATCCAGGGTAATTTTGAGAAGGCTCTGGAGACCTGATAATTGGGTAAAGGTACTCTTTAAGAAAAGCTGGATTCCTAGACAGGATGGAAGGTGACAGGGCACAGATTATTACCGTATTTCATAGAATCAAAGATGCAAACTTTAATATTATCTGAAACCATCATGCACTTTAGAATCATTGTGGTAAGAAAGCATCATATAGTTTAACTGAAGCATTATTTTCTTAGTGATACAGAAGATACTGAAATGGATGTCATCGTGGATTGGATGAAATACGGAATTTGAAGGGAATATAGGCCGTTAGAGACTATAGAACTTTGGTATCTTGGCAATATGTTTAGGGTCTTCAGAGCCAGACTTCCTGGGTTTAAATTCTAGCCCTGTGTGACTTTGAGCCAGTTACTTATCCTTTCTTTACCTTACTTTTCTCACCTGTAAAATGGGGGCTGAAGACACTCCCCATCTTACAGTGTTGTAATGAAGATTAAATATGATCAGACATGTAATGTGTGTAATATAGTGCTTAGCACATACAAAGGTAATAACATTAGCTGTTATTATTAATAGTTTAGAGATTATACTTTGCAGAGTTGATTTGAATCCATTTTGTTGTGATTGAAACTCTGATCTATTACCCTTTAATGTTTGTGTTATCACCTGATAATTCAGCAAATGACACCTAGGCTTTTTAAAAGGGAAGATAAAGATAAGAAAGGTTAACCTAACAAGTTTCCATATTCTAATTAAGTAAGATTTAAGTGGCATATTTGATATCTATATTATTCCATGTGGTTGAGGTGTGGAAGAAATTTTGAGCAGTTAACCTAAAGCTAATACAAATATAATTTTGATTGGTAAGTATGGGAAGGACTGGAGGGCTTTAAAAATTTGCAAAATTGGAAGCATTTTTTCCCTATTCTAAGTGAAAGTGAAGGAGAGAATCCTTTTTGGTTTTTATGAACTTTACCGTCTTAGGTAAAGATAGTCATTTTAAAATTTCCTTTAAAAAATTATGTAAGTAGGCAGCATCTCTGTGTAATATGTTTGCTCCAGCTTCAGATTCTCTTATTCTTACGAGTCATTTTTTCTGTTCTAGTGTTCGGTGACCAGTGACTTGGATTTTCCAACACAAGTCATCCCATTAAAGACTCTGAATGCAGTTGCCTCAGTGCCCATAATGTACTCTTGGTCTCCCCTGCAGCAGAATTTCATGGTATGTAAATAATGTATATTCTGCTTCTTTTATAAGCACTATTTTAAATAAATATCATAGATGATTTTCTCATCAAGATCAGACAAGGTATGAGTAAAAAAGCTATGAATTATGGTAGCACACAGTGACATGTTTTACTGATTTTTTATATATCTTTAAGTCTTTGCAATGTTGCTCTTTTCCTAGTCCTTTCTAGTTAAAATATTCTTCAGAGAAACTGTTAAGCAAAAACTATACTTGGGGTTAAAAACAGTTAAAAGATGAACTTTATAGTTCTTAGCCTTGAAGACGTCTGACTGAAGTTTTGTTAATTGAGAACTTATTTAAAACAATTTTAGGCAGCGTGTTACTAAATGATAATGTACACCATGGAATATTCTCAGGGCTTATAAAACACAAGCGTGTTTCCAGAGATAACACTGGCCCAGTAGCTTTTTTTTTTTTTTTTTTAATAATCCTCCCCTGGGGATATTTTTTTCCCATTGATTTTTAGAGAGAGCGAAAGGGAGAGAGATACACTGATGTGAGAGAGACGACACATCGATTGGTTACTTCCTGCACGAGCCCTAACTGGAGCTAGGGATTGAACCTATCACGCAGGTACATGCCCTTGACCAGAAGTTGAACCCTCATTGTTATAACCACTGAGCCACACTGGTCAGGGCCCAATAGCTTTTGTAATAAAATACTAGTACAGTCAAACTTTGGTTCTCTATTGTCTCCCATCTCAAACAGTTTGGTTCTCAACCAATTTGTTCACAGAAAACTACCTCGATTGTTGAATAGAACTTTGATTCTTAGCCTGACAGCTCTTTCATGCTGATATATCAGCATGACAAAAAGCATTTTTATTCTTACATCTGGAGAACTGGGTAAAGATATCTGCTTATGAAAAAAACTGCTGTATTTTAGTTATTATTTTAAAAAATTGACACTTAGCATAAGGCTGCTTTTTAAATTTATTATGTTTTAGGTGGAAGATGAAACTGTTTTACATAACATTCCTTATATGGGGGATGAAGTTTTAGACCAGGATGGGACTTTCATTGAAGAACTAATAAAAAATTATGATGGGAAAGTACACGGGGATAGAGGTGAGCCATGTGTTTATTCTCTTGGAAAAGGGGGCCAAAGAATTGTTTATTTTTATTTTTATTTTTTTATTCTCACCTGAGGATATTTTTGCATTTATCTTTAGATAGAGGGGGAGGGAGAGATGGAGGAACAGAGAGAGAGAGAGAGAGAGAGACATTGATTGACTGGTTGCTACCCACACGACCCCAACCGGGGTCAGGGACAAACTGCAACTGAGGTATGTGCCCTTAGTGGGAACTGAACTTGGGTCTCTTCTGGTCTGCGGGCTGATGCTCTAACCGCTGTGCCAAACTGGCCAGGGCTTGAGAGAGATTTTGATTTGATTTTTTTTTTTTTTTTTTTAAGCATAGATATGAAAAAGATTTTTTAATATTAAATTTTGTGCTGGCTTGGCCTGACTCACAAGCTTAACATTTTCAGTATTTTCCCTATTTTTAAATTGAAGGACCATGTTTGCCACATGAAAATTATACCTAGTTGGCTATAGTAGATTACATCAGTAACATAAATTAAATAGAATTGTTTGAGTATATGTAGATTTTAAGATTCTTTAGTAGTAAAATTTGTTAGAATTAGGGCTCTGCTTATGTGACATGGGCTCCAAAGGGCTCTACTCAGTAGAATACCTTCCCCACCAGGCCAGTGCAGTACCTGAGATTCTGTCACTAGAATCATGGCTTTGGTGTTTTGTGTCCAGGAGAGCCTGCTGAATTGCCTGGCAGGAGGGTGATAGGTGTAACATCGTCAGTTCTCATCATTAGTGGAAAGCAAGGCCTGCCAGGTACATTGTTTCAGAAGAGGCCAAGCCACAGTTAGTTTCAGAGAATTAGGTTACAGCAGAGGCCCTGGTAACTTTGTGGGAGGGATGATTAAAGAGAAAATGACAAGGATTGAAGGTAAATTCTGTTCCTAACTTTGCCTTGGGCCAGTCCTGAAAAGGATCTTCTGCCCCTCATTTTAACAGTGTTATACTCCTGATGGATGGGCACTCGCTATTCCAAATTAGAAAAGGTATATGTAAACTTTTGTCATTACTGCTTTTCTCTGTATATTTCTGATATTTGATTTGGTGAATTTCAGAATGTGGGTTTATAAATGATGAAATTTTTGTGGAGTTGGTGAATGCTCTTGGTCAGTACAATGATGATGATGATGATGATGATGGAGATGATCCTGATGAAAGAGAAGAGAAACAGAAAGATCTGGAGGAGAACCGAGACGGTATGTCTGCGAGGTTTGTGTGTAGCCCTTACAGCATCTTTAAAAAAAAACAAGTGCACCCAGCTGGTGTGGCTCAGTGGTTGAGCATGACCCATGCACCTGAAAAAACAAGTGGATCTTCATTCCTTTTTTGTTGTTGAAAATCACATCGATAGCAGAATAATTGAAATTAGAATATTATTTGAAACATTTCATTCTGCACTTACAGTGTCTTTATTTCCTTTGGCTAGCAAATGAGTTTAGTGTGGTTGTGGGTTTCACTGGGCAGTCACCATCATCCTCAGATAACATACTGACCATTTCTGTGTGCGAGCAGTATGCTGATCACTTTGTGCACCAGCTTGCTCGATCCTCATAGTGCTCTGCCGGTGGGTGGTTTCATGGCTGAGGAGGTACAGTGGAGTAGCTTAAGTTCACACTGTTGGGAAGAAGCGACCAGAGCACAATAGTGGTAACCAGCTCTGATACTTCAGAGCTCATTATTAAGACAACATATAAGAGTGTGGGGGAAAACTGCAGTTTCAAAGAATAAAATTTTTATAATAGGCACCTTAGTGCTCATGTTATTCAGTGCCTTCATTTATAGATGAGGAAACAGACACAGGTGGGACAGTGAGCAGCCATGGTCACAAAATCAGTTAGTAGTAGAGCTGGGATTAGAATGCACATTTTTCTGCCTCCCAGTCTGCTTAAAAATTTCCATATTGGATTTTTAATTTTTTGTTTGACCTATTATGCCACAGATATATGTAAAATATATTGGAAGTAAGTGAAACACAAAGTTGATACTTTCTTAGATGATGAGCTTTGTTACACATAGTTGTGTGGAGAAAATGAAAGTTGCAAACTTGTTTTCTTTCATTCTTTTTGTCCTTTCATACTTACCTGTTTAGATAAAGAAAGCCGCCCACCTCGGAAATTTCCTTCTGACAAAATTTTTGAAGCCATTTCCTCAATGTTTCCAGATAAGGGCACAGCAGAAGAACTAAAGGAAAAGTAAGATTTGTTCCTCTGAAGGAGTCTTACCTCGTGTGGGATGGGATGGATGTCAGCTGCCATTGGGTTTATTGGAAATGAAACTAATGTGGCTAATGAGCTCTCAGTTCATTTCTCACAATTGCCAAGACAGTTGAAGTAAAACATATCCTTGCCAAGCTCTGTCCTACAAGCCTTTATTGATGTAGAATACACACACACATAATTTGCAATAGTACATGCAGGGGAAAATATCTCTGGACACTTGTGGAAGTTTTACTATAGTTGATGTTTAACTTGAATATAAGAACATTTCATGAATTTGATTCTATATCATGCATAATACTTAATTGGCTTATCACAAGATGGTTGTAGCTAGACTTTTCTTTGGTGTTTTAGGCAAGATAAACAAAATAATACATGGAATCCATTTAGAAACTTTATTTTTAGAACAGTAACTTTTGTTTCCCATTGATTTAATTTCTCTTGGTTCATGTCAGGTATAAAGAGCTCACTGAGCAGCAGCTCCCAGGGGCACTTCCACCTGAATGTACCCCCAACATAGATGGACCAAATGCTAAATCTGTTCAGAGGGAGCAGAGCCTGCATTCATTCCACACGCTCTTCTGTAGGCGGTGTTTCAAGTACGACTGCTTCCTACACCGTAAGTGCAGTTATTGTACGTTTTCATTTTCTGTCTTTGTGGTGGGATTATGTCTTAGAGCAACTTGGAAATTGTCATTTGTTTCAACTAGAGTTTATCATTTAATCTTGCATTTAAGATAGAAAAGTGTTAGGATCAGTGTCTTGTTATTTTTTAATTTGTTGCTTGAGGGTTGCTCCAAAGTCTTTTGTACGCACATGTTTGATTTGGACTGCTGTCCCCCACTCACCTGGGATACAGGTCAGTGACTTTTCCATAAATGTTTCATAATAAAACGATTACTGCCCTGGCCGGTTTGGCTCAGCGGTTAGAGCGTCGGCCTGCGGTCCAGAGAGACCTGGGTTCTGTTCCTGCTAAGGGCACGTACCTCGGTTGCAGTTTGTCCCCGGCCCTGGTTGGGTTGTACGGTGGCAACCACCCGATGTGCCCCTTTCACGTCCATGTCTCTCTCTCTCTCTCTCTCTCTCTTCCTCTCTCTCCCTCCCACTCTATCTGAACAAAAAATGGAAAAATGTCCTCGAGGGAGGATAAAAAAACAAAAAACAAAACGATTACTGTGAACTAGCTGGTAGCCTAGGGCAACACTATAATATTGATGTTAGCCAATTTCTTCAACAAAGCTTGTTCAAGATGCTTATATATATTCTTTTTTTTTTTATCCTCACCCAAGGACATATTCCCATTTTTTGTTCAGATAGAGTGTGGCGGGGTGGGGGGGAGAAACATCGATGTGAGAGATTCACATTGAGTGGTTGCCATCCACATGACCCCAACTGGGGCAGAGACACACTGCAACCGAGGTACATGCTTTTTGTGGAAACTGAACCCGGGTCTCTCTGGACCACAAGCCTACGCTCTAACCACTGAGCCAAACCGGCCAGGGCTATATATTCTTACCTATATTGTGTTAAATCTTTTTTTGGGGTGGTGGGGAGTTGCCCTTTTAAAAATACCCACATTTGGCCTTGGCTGGTTTGGCTCAGCAGTTAGAGCATCAGCCTGTGGACCAAAGGTTTGCAAGTTTGATTCTGTTCAAGGGCATGTACCTGGGTTGCAGGTTCAATTCCCAGCCCAGTTGGGGTTGTGCAGGAGGCAAACAATCGATGTGTTTCTCTCACATAGATGTTTCTTTCTATCTTTCTCCATCCCTCTCTTTCACTGTATCTAAAAATCAGTGGAAAAATATCCTCAGGTGAGGATTGACAAAATAAATAAATAAGTAAATAAAAACCAAAATACCCACATTTGAATACAGGTAAAGCATAAAATGTTCTTAATGGAACTGAATTATGGCACACAGAATAGTACTTAATTTTTCTCACACTGCTGGGGAATGAAGTTAGGTAAATCGTCCAGATAACAAACTTACTTCTTTTTTTTTTTATCCTCACGCGAGGACATTTTTCCATTTTTTGTTCAGGTAGAGTGGGAGGGAGAGAGAGGAACAGAGAGAGAGAGAAACATCGATGTGAAAGGAACACATCGAGTGGCTGCCACCCGCACAACCGACCAGGGCCGGGGACAAACTGCAACCGAGATACATGCCCTTAGCAGGGTCTCTTCAGACCGCAGGCCGACGCTCTAACTGCTGAGCCAAACCGACCCGGCCTAAGGAAGATGTTTTGATGGAAGGAGGTTGTCAGTTTATCTGGGTCAGAAGTTCAGTGTCTCGGACTGCATCTTTTCTATTAGAGGGACTTGAAGGGTTTAATGAACTTTGAAGGATAAAATGGTTTTGGTCAGGGGACTAATTTCACTTCATATTCCAAGTAATGTATAGGCCACAGTCCATTTTGTAAATTGGAATCTGATTGTCTGCAAACTTGGAATCTTGGTGATTCCTTTATAAAAGCTCTGCCTAAAACTGGCTGTGTGGACTGCTGTGGCCGTCATTTCTGACCGGGTGTGAGGGCAGAGCACCGACCCGCTGCCTCCTGCAGTCCCTTGTGCACAGGATGATGCCCACCCACTGAGCCACACTGGCCAGGGCTGAGCTTTCAACATTGTAAATGGTCAGAATGTCAAAGACGGTATTCCAAGTTTATAGTTGATGGCCAACTTTTCTTTTTTTATTTTTAGCATTTCAGCTGTGTAATGGTTTTAAAAGTTTAGGCATACTTGAGTTCATATTTGCTGTGTAATTATCAGAGCGACTGAATCTCCCTAAACCTCAGTTTCCTTCACCTGTAAAATGGGGTGAGGGTCCTAATACTTGGGGATTTTGTGAGGGTTAATGAGAGAACCCCTAAAGCTTCCTCCTGTGAACTTAAACAGAATCATTGTCTGCTGCTGGCACTGTTTTCCCACGCTTGGATGTTGGCAGTTATTTTGTGAGGTAATTTTTTTTTTTCTTTAATCCTCACCCAAGGATACTTTTTTCCATTCATTTTCAGAGAGAGAGAGAGAGAGAGAGAGAGAAGTACTGATGCAAGAGAGACACATCAACTGGTTGTACCCGCACGACCCCAACCAGAGCCAGGGACTGAACTGCAGCTGAGTATGTGCCCTCGACCAGAATTGAACCTGTGCTCGTGCACTTACTCTGGCTGAGGACGGTCTTATTTTGGGGTTGATGTAACTGCGTCCTGCTGATGTGACCTTAGCCTCCTGTCTGTACAATCTTTGTATGTTAGGTCCTTGCCTGTCTAAAATGTCACCCAGTGCTAAGTTAGTCATATGGTGTTAGACTCTTGTTCTGGGAGAAAATTCACGCACTTGGAAAGAATTTGAGCCTTGAATTTCTACTTTAAAAACTCTTTTTCCCTTCTTCCCTCATCAGTCTGTCATTACTTCCCTTTGAAGTTCTATGGCTAGAAGTATGGCCTTTTACAAATACTTAAAATTTTTTTTTAAATCGTCACCTGAGGACATTTTTCCATTTTTGTTCAGATGGAGTGGGGGGGGGGGGGGGAAGAGACATCGACGTGAAAGGGACACATAGAGTGGCTGCCACCCATGCGACCCAACCGGGGCTGGGGACAAACTGCAACCGAGGCACATGCCCTTAGCGGGAACCGAACCCGCGTCTCTCTGGACTGCGGGCCGACGCTCTAATTGCTGAGCCAAACTGGCCAGGACTACAAATATTTTTTTAATGATTTGTTTTATGAGTATGTTGCTGGGTTTTATCCAGATCAAAGTAATTTTCCTCTTGTGTAGTTCTGAACAGGACACTGCACTGGAGGCTGGCTCATAGGCTTGCTGAGTCCTCACCACTGTGCACTAAGGCCTGGTCAGCGGCCCGTGTGCGCGGCGGGAATCTCTCTTACCACGTTCTGTGGGGATTTCCGTTTCAGACACTTGGGGAAAGGTGCTGGCTGCAGGCTCTCACTAGACTAGGTCTTGCCTGAATTGTGTGAGTCAAAGAAAACTCATTTAGTATTTTGAGGTTGTCCTCTTTATACTTAAAAATTAGTTTTTCAGCCCTGGACGATTTGGCTTAGCGGTTAGAGCATTGGCCCGCGGACCAAGAAGTTGCGGGTTCCATTCTGGTCAAGGGCACATATATCTTGGTTGTGGTTTGGTCCCTGCCCTGGTCGGTGTTGTGCAGGAGGCAACCAGTTTGTGTCTGTGTCACATCAATATCCCCCCACCCCCACCCCCCCTCTACCTGAAGATAAATGGGGGGAAAAATCCTCAGGTGAGGATTAAAAAAATCAGTTTTTCACAAGTGGTGTTCCATTCTTTACCCCATTGGACAGACTGCTGACTTTTCTTTAGAAAAAAAAAATTGTAGATGTCATAATTCTTTGGGTAAAGCAGGGAATCTGATTTCGTTGTAGAGGATGTATCAGTTGTTTCTATGGAGTGATTAGAGACTCAAATATAATGCTTGTGATCAGAGTTCAGAGTTTTTGTGCATCAATTATACTTGCGAGGAGAAAAATAAGAAACCACTAATCATTCCAAGGCAGTGTTGGTACCTTATGGGAGTTGAGGGAAACATGGTGAGAATTCAGTAAGAGTTGGAAGGAAAGTTCTGGGATGTGAACCACATATTTTCAAGAGTGGAATGTATTCATTGACTTTTTCCATTGAAACTGAGGAAATGAAGAAGTAACTATTTTATAGTTATATTTGGACATTTTATCTTTATTTTGCAGCTTTTCATGCCACACCCAACACTTACAAGCGGAAGAACACGGAAACGGCTCTGGACAACAAGCCTTGTGGGCCACAGTGTTACCAGCATTTGGTAAGCTTGAGTGCTGCGTGGTCCCCAGAGGCACTGCAGAAGCGCCGATTCTGAGCTGGGTGAGGTGTGAGCAGTCAGCATTGACACTGTGGCTCCCCTATGCTTCTCCTGGCCACACGGTCGGCGGAGGTTCGCACCCATGACTTTCGTAGCTCTCGTGTACTGCACACTCTAGTCCTTCACTGATCTTGTATTAGTCTTTGTGCATCTCTGTTAATCTCTTCAGCAACAGTTCAAGGTCTTTAGGATCGAGGCCTTCCTCAGAGTTCATGAGTGTGTGCAGCACAGGTAGCGCACCTAACCCCAGAAACTTGGCTATCAACGCAAGACCCCTGTTGTTTAAGCCTTTCTCAGAGTTGTAGACCCCTGTTGTTTAAGCTGTGTTACAGGCCCACAGATTTTTATTTTTTAAAAAATAATGATGGAGAAAAGGTAAAGGTTTAGGAAAATATGAGGTAGAAAAGTTGTTTTTTACGGGTACTATCTTATTTTTACCATTTCCCCTCTTTGAACCAAGCCACTCCTACCTAGGAACTAAGTGGGTATATATTGCCTGTTGGATTTTGGACAGAAGATTCATTGAATGGCACCTGCAGAAGGTATCCTATTTTTAAGCAATTTGGTTTTTGTAGAATGAAGTATAAAGCTGTTGCTGTTCTCAAACTTCTCCCTTGTATTGCCACTAAAAATGGGATTCTCAAGCACTATTTCATGTATTCTTTACAAGGAAGAACTTTATTTGGCTCATCTGAAATGCTTCTCTGGTCTCTCTGTAATCCATGTTCTCACCGTTGTTTTACACTTTCTGGATGTTGCTCTTCGTGATAAAGAACGTAACCCTCACAGCCTTGTTCCTCAAGGTCCTGTCGTGTCTTCTGGGGCTGTGCACCCCTCACAGGAAAAAAATTGGCTGTTTTAATAGTAAGGCAGGAAGTGACAAAGTCAAGCATGCTTATGTGTTTTGTATTCTTGTGTACTTAAGCAAGACGGTACTTAAGCATGTGCCATCTTAGAAACCCAGGGAGGAGAGTTTAGCTCCAGATGTGCATTGTATAGGGTTCTCCCAAGAAAATTCACTTTTAAAGAGGTAGTATATATATAAAGTGTAGTTTATATTTTAACTTACTAATCAGTTAATGTATTTCACAGACACAGAACTATACAGAACTAACTGTCTGGCCTGATTTCATACAGAACCCATGTCTGTCCTTTTGAAATTTCCAAGCTATCAAAAACAGATAGAATACAAATGTATTTAGAAATGCAAATGATTGTGGGAAATGGACACTATGTTAAATTTCTTGACTAACTTGCAGTCTTCTTTCCCTCCAACAAAATGAGTGGTAGAGCTTGACCTTGATAGCTTCATGCTTCACTTTGTAGGAGGGAGCGAAGGAGTTTGCTGCCGCCCTCACTGCCGAGCGGATCAAGACACCTCCCAAACGCCCCGGAGGCCGGAGACGAGGGAGACTCCCCAACAACAGCAGCAGGCCCAGCACCCCCACCATCAATGTGCTGGAGTCAAAGGACACAGACAGTGACAGGGAAGCTGGGACTGAAACAGGTGGCGAGAACAACGATAAAGAAGAGGAAGAGAAAAAAGACGAAACTTCCAGCTCCTCTGGTAAGGGGATCTGACAACTCTGCTTTGGAAGTTCCGCATTGTGGGGAATAAGGGTGTGTGGTGTAGTGAGCAGTTTTCCTAGTTGGCTAAGTTTCAATAAAATGAGAACTAAGACCAGGGAGGGCACTCTCTCAAGGAAGGTGCATAGCCGAGTTCTTGTTGCTGTGTGCGGCCCCAGCCCACCTGCAGGGTTTGCTGTCGCGTGATTGAGGTTCGTGGTTCCGTCTGCTTCCAGTGGGCCATTTCCTCCGTCTTTCTCAGCCGGGCAGGGCGGAGTTCACATCACAGCTTGGTATTCTTGATGTTCTGTGGATCCTTTTGGTTCCTTTCCTGTGTGGGTTTTAGGTGTTCTGCCCTGTGACTTAACCGTGAACAACAGAATAGCCCCATTTGCCTTCTTTTGAAAGGAGCCCAGGATCCTGCTTCCATGGGGAAACGTTTACTGACACTTTGTAGCCCCAGCTTGTTTTTAAACATGATTTCCTTCCTGCTTTGTTCTTAAGCACACCCCAAGCTTTACTTGTTGATACACTGTTCTGCAGTTGTCATTTCCTGACCCATACTTAACTTTGGTTTGTAGAAGCGAATTCGCGGTGTCAAACGCCAATAAAGATGAAGCCGAACAGTGAACCCCCCGAGAATGTGGAGTGGAGCGGAGCCGAGGCCTCCATGTTCCGGGTCCTCATTGGCACCTACTACGACAACTTCTGTGCCATTGCCAGGTTAATTGGGACCAAAACCTGTAGACAGGTAAGCACACGGGGGGGTGGAATATGTAATCCTTGACCAAAAGTAAGGACAGTCTCAGTTATTCTTAACCTTCTGTTCTTCTCCTGAAAAGTACTCCCTTCGCCCCCCTGAAGAGGGAACTGAGAGAAAATAATTTTCTGACTTCAGATATTTCACGTTAGGTGACAGTGGATTTAAAAAGCCAGTGAGAATTTAGATGGAGCCTTGGGACTCTTGATCAGGATGTAACCACAGCTGATGTCCCTGCGTGAGGGTCAGGGCAGTGTCTTCTTTGCGCTCTCTTGTCCCAGCACTTTTAACTGTCAGAGAAGAGAGATGTTTCTGATATGAGCAGTATAAGACTGTAAGTTTGCTTCCTTCGGCGGTACTCATTTCCGTGAATACCTCTCATCAGGTGTACGAGTTTCGAGTCAAAGAGTCCAGTATCATAGCTCCAGCTCCTGCCGAGGATGTCGACACTCCACCAAGGAAAAAGAAGAGGAAACACCGGTAAGTCTGCCTGCAGCCATTCTGAGATGCCACCAGGATGCTGCAGGCCAGGCGCGTCCAAGGGTGGCGGCTGGCCTCCACTTGGTCCATTAACAAAGAATCTTAAGATGCCTCAAAAGCATACTCGTGGAGTCTTGTCTCTGTAAGATTCGGTGCTGAGTCATAGTCATGCTCACTCTGCTGCATTTGGGTGGGACAAGCCTGTAGCTTCTGCACTAAAGGCTATGCAAACAATTACTTGAAGTTGTTCTGGGATGTTTTGCTGAGGGTAAATTTTGGAGGGAGATGTGAGTTCTGAGCTCCGAGCTGGTTTTTATTGAGGAGCCAGAATCTTCCAGATGTGTGGTGTTGCATTCATAGTCTTAGAATATCTAAGGTGTATAAATGTTACCTTTCCCCAAGGCCTGTGCAGTGAGTGGGGAAGGACTGGATTTGCAAGTGCAGAGCTAGAAGACCATGGCTGGACTGTTAGCTTTAATCCCATCTCTCCAGTGCTTCAGGGAGAAGCAGAGTTGGGTGTTGGGTAGGGGAACATTTAGATTATGCTTCAAAATATGTATACACGCTGTTCCATTTCTTTAATTTAGAACTGAAAGCACTTAGAAGTTTTTCCCACAGAATTTAGGCTTTAGTAGATATTTCTGACCATGTAGCTCAGTGGAATGATTAAAGACGTGCCAGTATTATCCACATCAAAATGAACCAGTAGGGAGACAACCTGCACACGCAGGTGTGACCATCCTAAATCCTGACTAGGTCTTGCATAGGGCTTCTTGGCACCCAGCAGGGCCCCCACAGTTTCCCAGTAGCTGCAGACACAAGTTGGGTCATATGTGACTCCCCCCCAGGCCCCTGCCTTTAAGGCGTCACTCTGTTCACGGCACAGGCGGACTTGTTCGGGGAGCTTCTGTGTGCTGACCTGAGGAAGACTGTTTTCTGCCCTGGCTGGTTTGGCTCAGCGGTAGAGCGTTGGCCTGCGGTCCAGAGAGACCCAGGTTCGGTTCCCACTAAGGGCACGTACCTCAGTTGCGGGTTGTCCCTGGCCCTGGTTGGGTTGTGTGGGTGGCAGCCACTCGATGTGTCCCTTTCGCATCGATGTTTTTCTCTCTCCCTCCCCACTCTATCTGAACAAAAAAAAAAGAAGACTGTTTTCTTTGTTTTGCAGGTTGTGGGCTGCACACTGCAGAAAGATACAGCTGAAAAAAGGTCAGCATCCTTCAATTTCATTAACTTAAAAATGTCTGCTTGTCATTTGTTAGTAACTGCGTTAGAATTTAGGATATTTTGATAGAGTTGACTTTTGTACATTAAGCCAATTTCAATGGAGGATGGCCGTTGATTATATTGCCAGTCGGTTCTCTTGTGCAGTGAAGGTGAGTCACTGATGGGTAAAGGAACAGCACCCTGGGGACCTGCGGCGGGGGTTGCTTTCGGCCATCATTTTGTAGACAGGAATGTTTATCAGGGAAAACCTAAGCTCCAAGGTAATGGGAAGAATGTGTTCTTGTTCCTGTGTACAATCATCTCCCACCTCTGATTGACCTGCATGCTGTTGTCCTGATGCAGACGGCTCTTCTAACCACGTTTACAACTACCAGCCCTGCGACCATCCTCGGCAGCCTTGTGACAGTTCGTGCCCTTGTGTGATAGCACAGAATTTTTGTGAAAAGTTTTGTCAGTGTAGTTCAGAGTGTAAGTATTTGCTGCTTTGATGCAATCGCATGAGAACTGAATGGGCCTTGGTCAGCCATTTAAAACAGGAACTGAAGTCGACACAACATGGTGGCTCTTCCAGAGCCTGTGTCCTGGCTCATGTGGGCAGGTCAGGCAGGGTGGGATGAAGGAGCTGCTTTTCTCTGGTGGTTTATATCAGATCATAGTAACGTTGGCACAGAATGCAAGGGGAATCTAGAAATAGCTACCCCAATATTTTCTGGGCACCAGAAATTGTCCGGGTTGGGTGGGTTCAGTCCTCAGAGGAAATGAACTTGTCATAAACGTGGTGATTCTAATCATCGAATGAAACGGCGCACGAAACTCGGATGCCAGGAAGTTCCCTCCTCTGTGCGGTGGGACGGGCAGGCCGCTGTGAGGGGTCCCCGAGTCCACGACGGTGACTGTCTCTGCAGGTCAGAACCGCTTTCCTGGCTGCCGCTGCAAAGCGCAGTGCAACACCAAGCAGTGCCCCTGCTACCTGGCCGTCCGGGAGTGTGACCCCGACCTGTGTCTGACGTGCGGGGCCGCGGACCATTGGGACAGCAAGAACGTGTCCTGCAAGAACTGCAGCATCCAGCGGGGCTCCAAGAAGGTGCGGTCTGGGGTGAAAGACGGGGGGGGGGGGGGGGGGGGGGGGGACGGGGACGACACGACAGGGCCAACAGTCTCACTCCATTAACCAGGGCCAAGGAAACGGGAGAGCCTGGGTTTCTCCTTGGGCAGCTGCTCCCACCCTCTCTAGCGTAGGAGGAGCCGGGAAATTCTAACCAGCAGGTGTTGTTTTAGGTTTGGAATAAGATGTTTTTCTAGTTGTTTAGTAGATGATTTTAATTTTCTTTTTTATGCAAATAAATGGTGTTCCTATCAGAATAGAGAGCCATTCTTTCAAATAGTAGCCATGAAACTGCCCACAGTAGTTTTTGCAGACTATGTTCCTTTAATAATCATGAAAACATCACAGCTAGGAATTACCTGCATGCAACTCCCGGTAATGTGAGTTTTTAACCAGCAACCAGGACCTTCATCACAGAGCAAAGGATGCTAACAGTGTATACTGGGGAAGGTCAGCGTCCTATTTTTCTGAGTAGGTGGTGCATTTCTTTAGTTAATCATTTTTATAATAAACTGGCATTACTTACTGTGTAGCAGGAACTGGTCTAAGTGCCCTGTGTATTAATTCATTTAGTCCTCATAATTCCACAAGGGAGGCTCCTCATGAACCCCATTTTCTAGATTAGGAACCCCTCGCTGTGACCTCTCCCTTGGGTTGCCTGATTGAGATCTCACTACAGCGCTGCTAGCAGCCCCGCCTGGGAATTCTATTGCTGGCAGTGGTTTAATTTTTGACTCTGGTGTTTTCAAGTGTTGAGGCAGCATTCTGTCAGTGATGCTCTTCAGTTTCCCACAGCACACCCACAACAAGCCCCGAGAATCTCATTATTTCTACCCCTTCCCCCACACTCACCACTGTAGGATGAACTACTTCCGTTGGCTGAGAAAGTGGGCAATGCTGTTCACGTTGATGTGCTGATGTGCCTTTGTTAAACTCGGAAAAAAGAAAACTGTAGATACTTTCTTACCAACTGGATTTCATTTGCTTAACAATGTTATTTAGTTTCTGATCAAGGAGGTATTTGGGAAACTTCCTTGACAGGTGAGTCTAGGCTGGATTAGAATAGAAATAAACTGGCCAGTGTGGCTCGGTAGTTGAGTGTCGATCCATGCACCAAGTTGTCACCAGTTCCGTTTCTGGTCAGAACACGTGCTTGATCCCCTGTAGGGGGCATGCTGGAGGAGGCAGCTGATTGGTGTTTCTGTCTCCCTAACTCTTAGAAATATATTAAAAAATAAATAAAAAGGAAAAAGAAATAGATTGGGAGTTTGAGTGATCATGGAACTTTTTAAAGGACACCGGAAATTTGGGGTGAAAGCATAATAATGAACCATGGTGGAAAGAGGGATTTGTTCCCAGCCATCGTCTAATTAGATAGCAGATGTCAAACAGCCAGTTCTAAGAACAGAATGGCAGGCTGATGAGATGGTGAGCCCACCCCTCGGCACCCTCCTTGCTGTTGTGAGGAGCGCTGTGGGGGAACAACCAAGCTTTGGTAGGAATAAAGGAGCCAGGGATCCCAAACCTGAAATGGAGAAGCTGATGGTAGAGGTCACTGTGGGGAGAGGTGGGATTTGGTGTCCATGTGTGAAGTGCACGGCAGCTGTGTGAGCACCTTGTTGAAGGACGGCCAGGACAGCTAGTTGATGCTTTTCTGGCAGCTGGATCTTACATTCTGTACTTCGTTGACAAAAACCCCAAAGCACTGTCCTTGCGGTTTGTCAGCCCCTTTGGCAAAAGTGGAGAAGATTACCTGTCAAGATAGGTTCTTCTTAATTCAGGGTACTTGGTGGCTTCCTGCTGACTTGACCCTAGAAGGGCCTGAGGAGTTGAAGAAATTCACCTGTGGTCCAACTTGTCAGCATCTAATTGTTGTCCTTCGATTAAACGATTGTGCTTTATTCTCCAGCATTTATTGCTAGCACCATCTGATGTGGCTGGCTGGGGGATTTTCATCAAAGATCCTGTACAGAAGAATGAATTCATCTCAGAGTACTGTGGAGAGGTAAGGCCAGCTCCAGGCTGTTCTCTGTGTGTAGCAACTTTGTTTCAGATTGTGACTGGGCATGACCAGTGGGTCTGGTTTAGAAATGAATGAATACAAAATGCCTTTTTGTGGCTTGGATTTATGCTGGTGGGTTTGGTTTGCTTGGTAACTAGACTGCTCCAGTACTAGTCACATTTAGCTTTTACCAGGAGACAAGATGGGGGAATGAGGTTTGCAGTGTAAGAGTCTGTCCTACTTATCCACAACCTCATTAATAAGGACCTAGAAATGAGTGTGATTAATCTTATGCCTTTCTAGTTGTAGAGTTAGGGAAAAGCCATAGGGCTAGCTTCATTCAGTTTGGAGTCAGCCCATCCTGTTTGAGTTTTTCGGTTTGTTAAAGACTGGTCAAAGTAATTTACACTTGAAGAAAGTGATTAACGTCGAAGTCCTTAAAATCCATTGTTCTTGGACATACCAGCACGCAGACTGAAGAAACTGGCTGTAGTCACCCTTTGTGTTGTTTTCCCCAGGGAGGTCAGATTCTCTTGTGTGTGGTCACCTAACCCAATGCTGTCTTATCCTCTGTCTTAGATAATTTCTCAAGATGAAGCTGACAGAAGAGGCAAAGTGTATGATAAATACATGTGCAGCTTTCTCTTCAACTTGAACAACGGTATGTTTAGGAGTCAGGGCACTCGGGAGCCCCTTCATTCATCCTCTGAGCTGGTATTTCTCATTCCCTGGCTTGAGCTGTTGGCTGTTGGTGTCACTTGTGGGGAGGAGCCCTCACTGGCAGAGCGGGCAATGTTCTAGGGAGGTGGTCTCGGGAGCTCTGAGCCATGCCAGATGCTGGCTGTGGGACAGCCTGGGGTCTTGAGTCACCTGGGCGGGCACTGAATTTCGAAGCCTCTCCAACACTTCCTGGGTGTCATCAGGCAGAGAACATGGTCTGGAGTCCTGTCAAGAAAAGCAGGTGCTTAGTACCTGAGATGTTCTGATGACCCTCAGCCGAAACAAGGAGGATAGACAGGTTTTTCTATGAACAGGTCTCCCAAGCAGAATGGAAGTTAATTTAGATACAAAAAATGCTTATTCTTCATGTTGGGCAGAAATTAGATCCCGTTACATATTTACATGAGGTAATAGTATTTGAGACAATTATCTTGAATTAGCAATTTTATCTAGAGTAGCATTTTCTTGCAAATGTCATTTCATACTGCATGAAGCTGGCTGAATGATTTACTTGCTTTTGAAGGCAAGCCCTGAAGAACTATATAGCCTGTGTATTCCGGAATCATAGTAACTTCATGTTTATTGATCTAAAACTGAAACTGTTCACTACATTGTTCTTTTTTTCCTCTTTAGATTTTGTGGTGGATGCAACCCGCAAGGGTAACAAAATTCGTTTTGCAAATCATTCAGTCAATCCAAACTGCTATGCAAAAGGTAGGTGTCAGGACCCTCAGCTGTAGTGCCGTGCACCCTGGGACAGATTCGCGCGTGGCCAAGTCCTTTCTCTTGCTGACACCAATGTCTCTTTCCAGTCATGATGGTGAATGGCGATCACAGGATAGGGATCTTTGCGAAGAGAGCCATCCAGACTGGTGAAGAACTGTTTTTTGACTACAGGTTGGTAACAGTACCTTTCTGGTGTGACCTGAGGGCTGTTCTCCTGGACTCAAAACTGGGGACAGCTTTCTGGCCTTTTGTTGGGTCATTCTTTGCCTTGGGCATTGGCAGACAGTTCAGGTGTAGTCTCCATTAAAAGAGTATGGGTTATTTTTCAAAGAATGCAGAAAGCCCCATTATTCATGCCGCTGGTAAGAGCCAGGTGTGCGCTATGGTTGTCTAACTGTTCAGTGCTGGAGGACTGGCCAGTACCCTACCTGGTCAGCCTCTGGAAGCTGCGGACACAGGGGCCCCATTAGTGTTAATAGGTCTTAGGCACGGGGGATAAACTGACATGGTATTTTTAACACTTACCTAAATTTATGCAGTCAGATGACTGTCTAGTTAAATCTGTGGCTGAATTCCTACTCAGAAGCTACATTTTTGAGTACTGAGTTGTCATAAACTAGGGTCTGGTGTCCCCCACTGATGTGAGTGGGTAGCTGTGTTCATGCCCATCTCCTGCTGTTTCAGATACAGCCAGGCCGACGCCCTGAAGTACGTGGGCATCGAGCGAGAGATGGAGATCCCTTGACGTCCGCTACCTCCTCCCCTCCGGCACAGCTGCCTTAGCTTCAGGACCCTCGAGCACTGTGGGCAATCTAGAGAGTGCGGTTTGAATCCTGAGATTTGCAAGTACTGTAAGAATAATTTATAGTGATGAGTTTAAAAGTAAACTTTTTATGCCTTTTCACCAGCTGCAAAGTGTTTTGTACCAGTGAGTATTTTGCAATAATGCAGTATGGTACATTTTTCAACTTTGAATAAAGAATACTTGAACTTCTCCCTGTGGTTGACCGGCCTCTGTCACGGAGCGTCTGCTGATTTCAGAAAAGGACTGCATCCAAGAGAGAAGCAAGTGCTCGCATCAAACACCTTTGCTTTTGCCTATCAGTGTGGTATTAAGTTGCTTGATTATGACATTATATACTAAATACAGGGGGGCAAAAGTAGGTTTACAGTGGTGCGTACAGAAGTTCACTCTCGTATCACAGCTCTATAAACCTGCTTTTGCCCACCCCTGTATACATGTAAATATGTAACATAAATGACTTCATTATACACACATAATACTGTATATACTTGGCCTAATTACACTTAATGTTGCTTATTAATAACAATCCTTGCAGCCTGAGACCCGGGGTGGAGGCCTGAAGAGTTGCCTCGTTCTCCACATATAAGATGATGGTGTTGGCCTAGGTGTCTTGCTCTCAGTTCCTTCAGAAATACAAGCTTCCTTACCTGCCCACAGACCAGTACTGTGGGTCAGCTGAGTGGAGTTGGTTTCCCAGAGTTAGAGGAAGTGGACTTATATGTGATAGTATTTAACAGAAAACTTATTTGAAACTCACCTTTTGTTCCAATTACGCAAACACTGGTAAGACTCTGGTTTCTGTTGCATCAACGCACAAGCCATAGCAATGCGAATCCCAAAAGAGTTAATTTGCCACTTAGCTTTGGCAGCAAAAAGATCTGGCCTCCCTTATGTTCTGCCTCAGTTCCTTTCAAACAGCTTGGACTGCCCCTCCGCCTAGGTGAGAGTGCCCCACGCCCAGCAGTCACCTGGGAGAACTCCCGAGCTTGCTCTGGACGTCCATGCTCCTCCCCCCGGGCACTCAGCATGAGCACAGCTCGCCTGTTCACCAGCACACGCGGGCCTGCTCAGGACACCCCAAGGTGGCTCAGCCCAGCAGTGTCTACTGACACGGACAAACAGCTGGGGTGTGGAGCCTTGGGTCCTGAGAAGTTCTCATTGAATGTTCCACACACCCAAATGCAGCATAAGGACAGATTAAAGGTGTACTGTTGGAAAACAGTAATTCTGTTTTAATCCTCACTTGAGGATGTATTTCCGTTTATCTTCAGATAGAGTGAGGAGGAGAGGAAATACCAATGTGAGAGACACATCAATTGGTTGCCTCCCACATGACCCTCACCAGGGCTGGGGACTGAACTGCAACCGAGGTACGTGCCCTTGACTAGAATTGAACCCGCAACTCTTTGGTCCGTGGGCTGACACTTTAACCACTGAGCCAAATGAGCCGGGACAAAAGCAGTAACATTCTTACTGCACAGCTTTTGCACCGACTGGAAATGGACCCCTCCACGAACACCGAGAGCCTCTACCGGGAACACTCGGCACGCACCTCGTCACCGAGCCGGGTGACAGCGGGCGTCTCCATCAGGGCGGGTCGGCTGCAGTTTCCTCCGGGGGCACAGTGACCCTAGGTGTTCAAATACCCAGGATGTGGACAAAGCTTAGTATGCTCCCCGTCCCCCAACATTACCATAGATCAGTGATTTTCAACCCTTTTCACCTCAAACTAATTACTAAAATTCTATGGCACAAAAATTTATTTTTTGCCAATCTGACACAAAAATAGTGTAATTTTGATTCAGTCACATCAGACAGCTGTTGTTGGCTTTTGCCATGTTTTCATTTGGCAATCTAAGGGAAAGGGTCAGCGCCCTAACTAGAGCCAGGCTCTGCGTGTTTTCTGGGGCGCACGGTGGAAAGGCGCTGCTGCGGTCCCTGCTGGAGGGGTGCCGGAGGGCAGCAGACGCACCGGAATGCAGATGGGTCAGTTCCAGGTTTGGGGTATCACATTCTGCAAGGAGGACGGCAACTGACAACAAGTGGCCCAGTGGGTCCCTAAGCTCCTAATGGTCACAAAGCAGCTCCTGAAGCCCTGGCCGGATGGCTGTTGGTTGGTGCCGTCCCAGTGCATCAGGATGTGGGTTTGAGCCCCGGTCGGGGCACATACAAGCAGCAACCTTGAGCGCGTGAATAAACGAAACAAACTGATGTTTTTCTCTCCTTTCCCCCTCTCCCTAAAATTGGTGAATTACTAAAAAAACCCAAAAACTTCATGACGATGACCCGTGGCTCTAACAGGCAGCACCTCATCCACAGACCGACTTCTGCACCATGAAATAACAGTTCGGCTTAATCAATATCTTGTAAGTTATTTAAAAATGCCGATTATAATCATCTACCCAGAACTGCTGCTAAAGTACTTTCAATACTGTCTGGCTATCCATTCGGTGACTGATTTCACCTGTGCCCAGGTGTTCAACAGCTGCCCCCGCCCTGCAAAAGTCAAGTCATGCAAGACTTGTAGACTGGTCATCAAGAAACGGTCCCAATTAGAGAACTTGCTGAAAGAACCTCAGGATTCTGTTGAAAGTTGTCTGAGCTTTGGGCTCCTACTGGAATTGGCTGAAAGACAGACTTGCTGTTCCCTCAGCCCCTTGCCACCGATGACCCCAGCGAGGGTCCAGGACACCAAATACGAACAGCTCCTTGCAGGGGAACCCATCTCCACACAGTGGGTTAAGAAAATCCCCTCCCCTTGGCCACTGGAGAACCGGAAGGGAGGTCCGAGGGTGTGAGGCGGAAGCACCCAGTCAGCCAGGTCACTGGTTCCTGAAAGAGGAGGAGCTGCCATCAGAGGTGGGATTCAGCTCAAGCAGGGCAGCGCATCTTCACTTGCATGTGGTAAAATGTCAGTTTCCCAAGAAATTAGAAACCAGTGTTCAGCAAGGAGGTTGCTCATCTTCAAGTGCCTAGTCAATGAGTATTTTAAATCTCAGGTGCTTGTTCCTGTATCGGCTGCTCCCTTACTGGTTACTGAGTTCGGTGCCCGGGCTGCGGCCTCAGGCGCCACCACAGGGCTGGCTGCAGTCCAAGGCCACCCGGTGTTGGACAACAGCCCCCCCTGGGACCTCTGACCCCCGAAGACCACTGGGGAAGGACCTGCCTTCCCTGGCCTGTGCCCTTGGGCCGCAGCAGCCAGCCTGGCACACGGCTGCCCTCACCAGAGGGTTTTCAGAACACCCGGGACTCTGCCTGCAGCAGCGTCAGACTCCCACGTCAGCCGCCATGACAGCACACTCCCAGTGTTTCCCATTTAGCAGGTTGGCACGTAAGGGAACTCAGTTCTCTGGCTGTCTGGAGGCTCCTGACCGTCCTTGGGATGTGGCTGGGGAAATCACGTGAACGAGTCTAAGCCGCCCTTTCGCTCCGCACCCATCATACCGCACCTTTACCTACTGCGAGGGCAGGGGCGGGATCTGAGGGTGCGGGTAACCACCTCTTTACCCATCCCTGTTCCTTTGCTTCCTGTGCTGAGCATCCTGACTCAGCCAAGTAACGGACCCCAGGGTACCCGGATCCTGAGGGAGCTCAAGACACACTTTCTAAAAGCAGCTCCTGGGAGGAAAGGCGGGCTGTGGGCCCCACCCCAGGTGCTCCTTCTGCTTTCCCAGTGTATAAACCAGGAGAATCATTGGAAAAGGTACTAAATAAGTGTGGAAACCATTATCTAAGCGTTTAGTCTTACTACTACTTTTATAGCCTGTAACTTTTTTCACCCAAGGATACTTTTTTCCATTTTTTGTTCAGATAGAGTGGGAGAGAGAGAGAGAGAGAGAGAGAGAGAGAGAGAGAGAGAGAGACACATTGATTGGTTGCCTCCTGCACAACCCCGACCAGGGCTGGGGACTGATCCGCAGCCAAAGTCACGTGCCCTTGACTAGAATTGAACCCATGACTCTGGTCTGTGGGCCGACGCTCTATTGCAGAGCCAAACCGGCCAGGGCACCTGTAACTTTATTTTAAACTTTAACTTTTAAAACTAACCTTGTTATGTGCCAGATTTTTCCAGGAAATTCCTAAGAACTTAACTTTTGCGTATTTCTTTGGCTACGTCGTCTTCTATGCCCATAACTGACTCCATATAGGTCTACTCTGGTGATTATGTTCAGGTCCTCACATCCGTAAGAAACAGGTTCAGGAGGAAAACGAACTTACAAGAGCCGAGCAGCAGGGCTGAGCCTGCCCAGGGAGGTCTTGCTCCCTCCTCGTTTTTTCTGTCCTCTGGTCAGGAAGCGAGGGAGGTGGAGAGAGAGCGTGGGACCTCCTGCGGGCGAAGAACAGAGGAGTTGTTATGGGGACGCACAGCTGGAACCCAGGCCCCGGTCTGGGAGCGGGTCTCCTGGGGACACAGCCGAGAACATGCAACTTACCAGCAGGGACGTGAAAAGCAAAGGCTTGCTGGCCGGTCTCTGGTCCGGCCGTCCGGCTCCCCAGTCGGATGGAGGGGCTCATGCCCCCGTCGCTGGGATCCTGGGAGTTTTCCAGGCGCACCCTGAACTGTGGCTTCTTGTAGTTACAACAGGAATAAAGGCGCTTCCGGCCCCACTGCCTCCAGGTCTGATGCTTGGGGCCTCGCAGGCTCGGCAGGGGCTGGGCCGCCGTCGCTCCCAGCTTGTCTGCTCGCGGTGACAGTCCCTCTTCTCCTCCGTTTCCCCACCTGTCAGAACACCAACTACCCATTCGTTCTCACAAGTGGCGGACGGAATCCACACATCACGGACCCCCAGGCCACTGGACGAAGTCCTGGAAATGAGGATCCACGTCTTGAAACAAATGACAAGGGGGCTAAAACCCTAAGGTCTGAAGCATGCAGCCTGTTAGGCTGCAGGAAGGCACTGGGAATATAAATTTGCACAACCATTCTTTTATTTACATATAGAAATTAGTAAAACTGAAAACAAAACCAAATGCAACTTGTACAGAAATCCTTTAATTTTCTTTATTTTCACACATTAGAAAATGAAACACACTATACAAATGGGTTTTCAGAGCAGATTACACGCGGATCCACTCACTCCTCTCCAAGTGCTGCCGCACCCCGTGCTGCGGAGAGGCAGCCTGGGCGCGGCCCGGTGGATGAGATGCAGTAGCATGCAGCCTCAGCATGAGTCTCCCCTGTTCTTAAATTAGGGTAAATGGCGTCGGTGTCCATATTTACAGACTTGAAATGTATCGATCCTGAGCAGTTCTGATGTACATCTGAGTCGGCTGATGGGAGTCTTGGTCTCCAGTGAGAAGGGGCCGGTGGCGGCGGCGGCTGCTGGGACTGGCTGTCCTGCCCCAGGACACCGCTGCGGCAGCAGGCAGACCCCTACGAGGGTTAAGCCAAGTAACTGTAGGTGTCCTTTTCACCATCGACTCGCTCCAAATACTCTTTCTCGATCAGAATGTCAATGCATTTCTGGGTGTTATTTAGAAAAGGAAGAGGCAGGGAAGAAAAACACATTTATGATCAGAACAGACAGGCACCCTCGCCATGGATCCCCTGCCTCTGAGCGCGCAGTGGGGAGGAAAGTCACCTCGTACATCCCTCCGGCGTGTAGCCAGGACCTCGCCTTCCCGAATGGAGTCCCCTGGGGGCCAGGCCTCCCCACCCCGAGCTGGGCCAGGTGCTCCAGGGCCAGCAGCCTGTGGGCCCCTGGCTGTGGGAGCCGCCTGTCCACCGCGCCCTCTGCATTGGCTGTGGTCTCTCTCAGCCCAGCCAGAAAGGAGCGGAGCTGTGGTCACAGGAGCTGCGGTCTGCTCCCAGGAGCCCCCACAGCAAGGACGAACACGAGCCTGACGCTACGCTCGGGACGCATCTCCCTAGCGTGATGCAGACGCACGCAGTGGGCACTCCGCTCCAGACGTCAGCGCTGGGGCCACGTGTCCGCAGTGTGGCGGGGCCGCGGGCCCCGGCGGCACAGCCCCCGGCTGAGCATTGGGGATGTCTGCACTTCTCTCTGCATCTCAATGGAAGCTTAAAAATTAAGCCCATTTTCTTTTGCAGAAACCTAGTGTGTATGAATAGCTAAGTCTTCTTCAGGAAACAGCCACGACCTCCTCTTAGCTGCGTCTCTTCTAAAAGAGTGAACCGACCACCTCGGCTTGCGACCCCTGTACCTTGATGACTGGCACCCGGGGCTTGAACCTCGAGGACAGCTGCGTGAGCACCTCCCCCAGCAGCTGCTGGTGCTTCAGGACCTTCCGCATCTTCATGATCCTCACGATCGCCGCCTGCGGAGCAGAGCAGGGACACGGCCCCTCAGTGCCCAGGGCGGCGAGGAGCGGCCGCAGCTCTGCTCTCGGCGTGGGCCCGGCCAGGGCTCAGCCTGCTGCCTCTGCGCTTATGAGCATTCTAATAACTCAATCCAACCATAAAACATTTAAAGAACAGGAGAAATTATGAACCAAGCCGCAGAAGCTGGTAACCCTCCACTCAACAGCCTCCTTCCCTGCGACTCACACTCACTGCATTCATCTGCTATCCGTCGGCCCCGCCCAGAACCATGCGCCCCTCACAGCCGCCCCAGGCCGCAGACAGACAGACAGACGGCCAGGCGTGTGCCCAGTCACCTGGATCAGCAGTTTGCGGTCTTCCTCGATGTTCTTGTGTGTGGTTTCTTGTTCCTGCTTCTGTTCGGTTTTCATTGGCACATTAATGTTAACCCTTAACTTCTTACTGTCAAGACAACCAAGGAGACACCGCTGTTACTCGGAAAGGCCAGCAGCACAGGTCCTGTTTCCAGCTGCTCCCCAGACGGCCGAGGTGACGGGCCTGCCCACCCTGGCAGCGCCCACCCTGCGCTCGGAACGGCCGTCCGACCACCAGGCGCTCTACCCCGGCCATGGGGCAGCTAGCGGCCGGGGGGCAGCCCCTTCCCTGCCCTCCCAAACCGCCAGGAGAGATGGGAGTCAGATGCTGGGACACCGAGCTCAACTCCCAAGTGAGCTACTTAAGGAGACTTAATTGCCAAATGAAAAAAAATCCAAGACCAAAGCAGAGTTAAATGGAGAAACATCCAGAATCATCAAAGAAACCAAAGGTGGACATCAAACTCCCGCCCACCCGGCTGGCAGTGCCGCAGTTCATGAGCTCGGCAGGGGCCAGGGGCCAGGGGCCGGGCTGTGGTCTAGGACCATGTAGTCAGCAGATTTCCTTACTTTTTATAACCAAGATATAACTTTATTAAGGTATCTGGCTTCAGCTCCACCTCATCAACATTTGCATTTTCGTCTTCCAAGACCTATAAGGAAACAGCTGTCACCACATAATCTCAGAAGAAGGCTTTTTCTAGCTAAACATAAAAAGTGCACAAACATACCAGTAACTTCGACTTCAATAAAATCTGTAGGACTTGCGCCAAAATGTCCTGCAATTAGGGAGAAAAGGGTAAGTTAAAGTACATTTTTCTTTGCAATAAAAACCATAGCAACTGCATGATCCATTTTTTCCACAGAAAAACAAGTCGCCCAAACCGACAGACGCTCACAGGAGAGAGGTGGTGCTTTGGGAGGCTCCCGACATCCACTACGTTCCCCAGCACCTACGTCTGAAAGTGACACCAACCCCCCCTTTTTAATTAAAAAAAATGTTTTTATTAATTTTTTAGAGGAATAGAAACATGGATGTGAGAGAGAAACATCGATCAGCTGCCTCCTGTACGCCGCCTACCGGGGGTTGAGCCCACAACCCGGGCACCGGGACCTCCGTCCACGGGATGACGCTCCATCCACTGAGCAACATCGGCCGGGCTACACCAACCCCTTTTAAGGCTTGATTACTACCCTTGATTTCATTAGCGGTGAAAACTGATGATTCTGTCACACTTCGATTTCAGAGACCGGCAGGAACCAGCGCCTCACACTGACAGGAACGGACTCACTCAGGTGCCCGCAGCTCCCCGTGGGCACTGACCTGAGGCAAACCCCAGGGCACTCATTCCAGTGGGGCCGCACAGCACTGTCCACGGACACGCAGGGCTGTCCCCTCAGGACCAGTGGGTGGGCTGGTCACTCCCGCTCCCTTCAGCTCCCAGCTGTGCGCCCCCGTGAACCGAGCGCACCGTGCCCGCACACCCAGCGTCCCTCCCTCAGCACCGTCTGGGCGGAGGGCATGGGGTTCGAGCTGTCAAGGTGACAGGCCTGTCGTCTAGGCGCCGGCCCAGAAGCGCAGAGCAGCACCTCCCACAGGCAGCCCCGCCTCCAGCTTGCGAGCCCAGGCAGCTCTGAGCAGGAGCCACGCGGAGCCACCGAGGACGTGTCAGCTCTGAGCAGGAGCCACGCGGAGCCACCGAGGACGTGTCAGCTCTGAGCAGGAGCCACGCGGAGCCACCGAGGACGTGTCAGCTCTGAAGCAGGGACCCGGCGCAGACCCGCTTCTGTCTTCTTTTCGATGTGAGTGAGGAGCAATGAGAAAAGACTCTTGTGCACAAAGGAGCAAACTCACTTGTCATCGGGGTTTCAGGATGTCCTCTGGACTACCCTGGAGCCGAATTCACACTGTGTGAGGCCAGTACTACCCTGACACCAAAACTAGACAAAACTCAAGAAAACGACAGACCAATATACCTTATAGACGCTAAAAATCTTCAAGAAAATTCCAGCAAACCAAAGCCAGCAGGTGGGCTGTCCCGAGAACGCGGCCGCGGTTCCACACAAGCCCCCGATCCACACGACACATGGTCACCAGCAGAGCAGGAAAAGCACGTGAACAAGGAGCCAAACATGGGAAGAGACTCACGATGGGAGCACCGAGCACCAGGACAGAGGGGCTGCTGCAGCCCGAGGCCCGGCCTGTAGGACGCCCACAGCACCCTGCTCACAGCGGACGCTCCGGTCCGGCTCCCCGGGGCGGGCGGGCGGGGACGCCTTCTCCTCCGCGTGTGCTGGGGGTGCCGGGGGTTTGGCCCAGGGCAGGCAGGAAGAGAAAAAAAGAAAAAGACACCCAAACAGGAAAAGGAAGGAGTATGACTATCTGAATTTGTAAATGACATGATTGTATGTTATTTTTTAAAAGCCCTAAAGAATCCACAAAAATAGTATAACTAATAAATGAGTGGAGCATGGCTGCAGGACACACAATCATTAAGCAATAATCACTTGTATTTCTATACACTAACAATGAACAAAATTCAATTAACAATAGCATCAAATCTAATAAAATACTGTGGAATAAATTCAACCAAGGAAGTGTTAAGACTAGTATACTGAAAACTATGAAACACAGTTAAGAGAAACTGAAGACAATAAATAAATGGAAAGATATCCATGTTCACAGATTAGAAAATTCACAACGCTCCCCAAAGCAGTCTACAGAATGAATGCAACCCCTGTTATAATTCCAGATGCCTCTGTGCAGAGACGGACTAGCTAACTCTGAAGCTTACTCGGAAATGTAAGAGACCAGAACAGCCAACAGTCCTGGAAAAGAGCCCAGCTGCACATCTCAATCCCAAAACTGCCTACAAAACAACACTCACTACTGGTATAAGGACAGACATACAGACACTTCCACTGACTTTTCTCTTCTCCACCCCACCCGACAAGGGCAGAACTTCCAGGTGAGCTAAGCCTGCCAGCAAGAACCAGGTAAGACACCCACCAACCAGAGCTGAGAGGCCACCTGCAACCCTCCCCAGATGACCGTGGACACGCCTTCCTTCATTAGCAGGCTGCCGATCACACCTGGGTAGAGACGTGCTCCCCTGAAACCCCAAGAACACCCCCCACACACACCCTGACAGCATGCGCTTGCTGTCTCCATTCTTTGAGTGAAGAAGGTTTGTTTGCTTTACCAAAGACTGGAGTAGGAACTCATTCTGCAGTCCTTGACCCGTGAGGGTCGGTGACCCAACCAAGAGGGAAGGGACAGTCTCTGATCTTAGAATAGGCATGGTTCCTTAGATAGGACACCAAGCACACAAGCAACAAAAGAAAATATCAAGCGGACTTCATCAAAATTAGAATCTTTGTAAATTAAGCACCTGACGAGGGGCTACACAGGCGCGCGCACACAGTACAACTCAACAATAAAGAGTCAATTATGCCCTGGCTGGTTTGGTTCAGCGGTTAGAGCGTCGGCCTGCGGTCCAGACAGACCTGGGTTCGGTTCCCGCTAAGGGCATGTACCTCGGTTGCAATTTGTCCCCCGGCCCTGGATGGGTCGTGCGGGTGGCAGCCACTCAATGTGTCCCTTTCACGTCAATGTTTCTCTCTCCCTCTTCCTCTCTCTCCCTCCTGCTCTATCTGAACAAAAAATGAAACAATGTCCTTGGGTGAGAATGAAAATAAATAAATAAATGATAAAGGGGTTCTATGGAAAGTGACCTCATCAGGTGACCTGACCACACGTTCCTGTCCGGGCAGGTCATAGCGGGCACTCCCAGCCCAGGCCTATGACTGCAGAAGGTGTGATGCCAGCGCTGTCTGCTGTTCTTGTGCATCTGGGTCACCACTTTTGGAAGCCAGAGTGACCCTTGGAAAGGGGTTCTGACTCTCAAGAGGGCCAACCCTCTGGTAGCTCTCCAGCAGCCAACCTGCACCTTGCTCTCTGATCTCGTCCCTTCCTTAATTTCCAACGCATGACAGAGGCCGCAGAACTGTTCTTCTCCCAAGCATTTTGACGTCTTGCTTCCCAACATATTTTTTGAGTCAGTTTGGCTCAAAACAAACTCATAAAATTTTAAACTAAACTTTTAAAAAATGTGCATTAAAACCCTGGAATAAGAGCCTATTTGTAGGCAAATATCCATTGCAAAGCCCCGCGGCCTCCCCGCGCCTTCCCGAGGAGGAGGGGGAGGAGGAGGGGGAGGGGGAGGGGGAGGAGGGGGGAGGAGGGGGAGGAGGAGGAGTAGTACCATTTTGATCTGGGTGCTGTCCGTCAGCTGCTGCACCGCGTACGCATCCTCCGTGTTGTACTGAAGCAGGATCGCCATCTGGAACGTAGACGCCTGCAGGTGCCCCGTGAGAGAGGCAGTCAGCACGGGAACCCCACAGCACCTCACCTCGTGCGAAGCTCCGAGACAGCACCCACCAGGAGGAAGCTCCTGGAAGGGCGTCTCCCTCCTTTCCAGACATTCAAGTGATACTGAATTTTCTCCTGAAATGCTTTGTCCATGTAAATACACACATGTCCACACTCATTTATACAGACAAATACAGATACACCCATCTGGTATATAAACATTAAGCATCACCCTTCAAATTTGTTTTTGAGCAAACACTAAGGAAAATTACCTTTTGGTACATTACTGACATAAAACATACTGAATTATATTTGATTTTTTAATCCTCAGCACTTCGCCGTGTGAAGTCTGATGTGGCTCAAGGCGAACCACAGGGCTCTAAGGTTCTCCCTGGAAACCGGTGCCAGGTCGCGGCCTGAAGCCCTGCGGTGAGTGGCCGCCCCAAGGCTCCTCCCCGACGTTTCCCACGGGAATCCCTCCCTCCCTCCCCCAGGAACCCGGCAGGCTGCTCAGAGCTGAGAGAAGGTGCTTCAGGCCGAGGTTGGAGGCTGACAACCGGAGGCCCCCGCAGAGCACACTCCAAGGCTCCCTTCTGAGGGCTGCGCAGGCCTCTCCCCCCGACCAGCACCCACATCAGAACAGATCTCAAAGACGCGTCCCCTAGTTTGGTGGTGGTCCCACCGGTGCGTACAACCTGTCACAACGCAAACCACATACCCACAATGGTGCCTTTTAAAAGAGCTGATTTCAGAGAGCAGAACATGGCTCGGCCGCCTCCTGCGCGCCCTCTACTGGGAATTGAGCCTGAAACCTGGGCATGTGCCCTGACCAGGAATCCAACAGGTGACTTTTTGGTGTACTGGACGACATCCAACCAGCTGAGCCACACGGGTCAGCGCACAAGGGGTGCCTTTCATTGCATGTAAATTCTCTCAACAAAGTTGATATAAAAATTACTTAAAGAAAACAGTATCTTAAATAAAAATACAAGGGCGGGGAAGAGCAGGTCACTGCCACGACCTCAAGCTGCCCTGGGCCACTGTGACACGGCCGACATATCCCCTGCTGAGTGTGCACCAGGTCAAAGAAAGGGCACTGACATTTTAGGAACTAAAGTATGAACTCGCGAATTCTTCTATGTGCACATGGGGATAAAGAAAAACAAGTTCAGTTGTACAGTGTCTACATCCAAGTTCCCCAAGCCCGCGGGATGCTACACCCTTGAGCTACTGTATCAGGGGGTCACTGCGAGCTGACTGCGCAGAGTGTGAGTCTGTGGGGTGCACTCTCAGGTTTCTCAACACTTAACAACTGCCCAGCGGTGGTTTCATAAGCTCACCAGGGAGACGCTCGCAGAGGGAACAAAGCTACTAGCCGTGAGGCCCACCCTGCACGCAGGTCCCAGCAGAAAGAACCTGGACTCGGAGGGAAAAGGCCTTCACTGCAGGTTATTACAGTCAGCACTCAGTCTGCTGTGAGCATCCACAGTTCCTACTGATGGGAAACCGCTCTGTCAAAGGAAAGAACTACTCTCGTAATTAAATACAGACAACTTATTAAGCTCCCACCGGAACGGACGTGTGGCAGGCAGGGGCGGTGCAGACACTTGCTCTCAGGTCGTCTCGCCCAGCCCCCACGGCCCTCCCGCAGAAGAGCACCGACATCCTTCCTCGACCCAGGACCCACGCTGCGCCCAGCTCAGCTCGAGATTCTGCTGCGTGAATCACTGGATTCTGATTTCCACAGTTTGTCTTATCTTCATTTGGACTTAAAAATACTCCAATACCTGAAGGTGACCTACCTGCAAAGTGTACCTGTTCTTGAAGCAGTTAGTGACCAGCTCTCCTTTGGACAGCTGGTACAGCCACGTGAGCTTCCTGCCGCTGTGCCGGCTGGCGTAGAAGGCGGTGAAGCGCTGGTAGCTGCGTTCCAGCTGCGGGAGGACACTGTGTGAACACACCTCCCCCGTCCACAGGCAAGCAGCCCCGTTACAGCGCAGGGCCAGCGCTTATCCCCAAGGAAAGGGCACAGGCCGCGTGCTGCGCTCTTGCAAAGCACAGGAAACTAAGTATGTGAAGGTACAATCAAAAAGAGGTTTCTATTTTAGACAGGTGGGGACAGTCAGATCTGTCCAGCGCCAACTAGGTCCCACGGGTAGGAGGGAAGGCAGGCGCTCTGCCGGGTGGGAAGAGGCAGCCACAGGACTGTGCGCCGCCCAGCAGGAAGGTGTTCACAGACCCACTTGCCTCTGTGGGAAGGCTGCCCTCCCCTCTCCTCGGCACAGTGAGCAGAAGACAGGGGTGCCTCACCTCGGACGGCAGGGCGAAGGTGCAAGACTGCTGGAACGGCCACGAGCCGGAGCTCAGCACCTGGATACTGAAGTCCACTGGGGCAGGCGGGAGTCAGGGAGACACTTCGTTAGTCTTAGGAACTGGAAAACGCTCTTTATTATTTAGACAATGCAATAAAAGTCCTGCTTCAACATAAAACTCAGAATTAAACTTCAATTAAATTATTCAATTAAAGTCAGTAAAAGGGGGGAGAGCCACAAATTCTTTTCCTCCAAAGAGTGAGCTTCTCGTTCCCCTCTAACTCAGGGTGCACAGCACGCGGCTGCCCCCCCTGCTTCGGTCCTGTGCCACGAGCAACCTCAGCGCCGCCGGCACAGGTGGCCCTGGAGCCCAGCCGAGAACACAAGCCCAAAGCGCACGCCAGCCAGCCCTCCAACGCTGGCCACGGGCCGCCGCACTGCCAAATCGACAGCAGAACAGCTCCTCCAACCGGGAGAAGCCCCGAAAGACAGTGGCTCTGACGCCAGCACCGCCCGCCCGAAGCCGGAGCTCCTGCCAGTCTGTCACCTGCGCGGCCAGGGCAGTTTCTTACACTTTACGGAAAAAAAGAGAAATTCGAATGGATCCAAACTGAGGATTAAAAAATTATTAGCCCTGGCCGGTGTGGCTGGGCGTTATCCTTTGCACCAAAAGTTCACGGGTTCGATTCTTGGTCAAGGTGTGTACAGGAGGCAGCTGATCCATGTTTCTCGCATTGATGTTTATGTTTTTCTCTCTCCCTCCCTCTCTCTAAAATGAATAAAAACCTCTCCTTGGATGAAGATTTAAAATAATAATTAAAAATTAAGCTCTGCGTGGAGCCCTGGCCGGCCGGTGCCACGGCAGGGCCGCCACGTCAGCACATCGAAGTGACTGCAGCTCAGGGCCTGGTGTAGCCGCTGCCCGCGCCCCCCGCGCCTCCCCCCGCCCGCGTCCCCCGCACGGGCCCTGGGAGGGTCAGTGTTTCCCTGGCTGCCTCCGCCCACGTCACCAGGGTCAGGAGGAGCACACAGCGTCTGGGAGGAACTCCTTGTCTGTCTGTCCTTGAACTCGTGACATCTGCATGTCTCATTTGCAACACAGGGCACGGACTTCTCCCAGAACGCTGCCGGAAAAGGGGCCCGAGAACACATGCGCACTCACAGTCCAGCGGCTCTGAATTCGTCAGGTGCTTTTTGAACTGCTCGTTCAAATCTTTGCTCACGCCAATGTCTTGAAACATCCGCTGAAGTTTAGAGGTGTACTCAAACCCACACGCTTGCTGAAACAGACCCAGAGAACGGACCTGTTAATTCCTACGGAAGTACAGGCGCCCGCGAGGGGAGCCGAGAGCCCTGCGCGGGAGGTGCACCGCTGTCAAACCCCCGCCCGGGCTGGCGCGAGACCGCCCTCAGGGTCAGTCTGGTCAGAATGGGTGCAGCAGAGCACAGCTCCAACGGGACGCTGCGTCGTCACGCACACGCGACTGCCACCTGAATGTCTGAGTGAGAGCCCGACTCTGGCCGACGCAGGTGACACAATGTGTCCGTGTTTCTTAACCGCTGCTGGGGAATGAGCTGTGTTCCCCAAACTCCTATGTTGAAGCCCTAACCCCAACGAGATTCTGAGTTTGGATGCTGCCATACGGGTGACCTCCACGGGAACAGCCATTCTAAGAAGACACAGCGGGTTACCCCCTCTGCCACGTGAGAGCGCGGTGAGGAGGTGGCCATCAGCAAGCCACGAAGAGAGCCCTCGCCAGAAAGCACCTCAGTGGGCTCCCTCATTTCAAACGTCCCAGCCTCCTGCATGGGTGAAGGGAACATCTGTGGTTTAAGCTGCCCAGCCTGGCATTTTGTTATGGGCCCAAGCTAAGTGAGATGCCTGCAGACTACAGCTTCAGGGCAAAGTGAAGCAGCTGCGAGAGGTGCCAGCACCGGACAGGCCGCGCGCGCAGGCGGCCCAGGCAGAGCGTGTCTCAGCAAGCACCGCCTCCTCAGGACAGGCAGGACAGGCGCTTCCGTCCTGCAGGTGAGGGGTCCAGGCGGCCACCCAGACGCAGAGCAAGCTGAACACCGCACCCCCGGAACCAGCAGCGTGTGAGCATGGGCCACACCCCCATGCTGGCCGAGGGGGAGGCCGAGCAGTCGGGCGGCTGGAACAGCAGGCCTGGGTGGGGAGGCCCGAGGGAGGAGGCCTGGGCTGGACGGATCCTGGCAGAGTTCATCCTGCACAAACTCCTTGTCAGACACTGATGAGCAGCTGTGCCCAATTCATGGTAATAGTTCTGGGGAAACTAAGAACTTTAATAACAACTTATAAACTGGATTATTTCGAGAGAAGACACAACTCACCTTCAGTTTGGAGATCATGCTTGCTTCGGCGTCGTCGCTCGCACTGTTCTGGTGCACGAGTCTCTTGGCCAGCATCTTCGCGTAAAACTTCTGAAACACGTCCTTGTCCTCTATGTACTTGAAGACGACCATCTGGCAAAGCCACAGAGGAGCACACTGAGGCCCCTGCCCACAGGCACCAGGGCTGACACGTCTGCTCTGTCTGAGCTGGCCTGGTATCAGGGCAAACAATGCCACCCCAGGCTTTGAATGCATTCATATACTAAAAATACGTAACATTGGTTTGGTCTGGATTTAGTACTATGAAGAAAGTACAAACACTAAAATTAATGACACCACAGATTCAAAATAAAGTAAATGATTCCACTACTGTTCACATTTCAGATATCCTTATATAAACAACCTTAAAACAGCTGTCGGATGGAGAGCCCCGGAGAACGGGTGTGACCAGTGAGCACCTTACCACTTGGTTGAGTGTGTCTTCCAGTTCTGCTTCCTCTGGGTTCTTGGAGCTGAAATGAAAGAAAAGGCAGTTTTCATAACAAATGAGAAACTGCTCCATCAGCAAGCACCACTGAATCAAACTGCTGTACCAGAATGTGGTCTGAACACTGCAATGACCAGTGTCCTTCCGACGGGTCCATTAAGAGGATGTTAATGGTTCCTACTGGGGCAGTTTCGTCATCTTACACTGTAACTCGACCATGGAAAAACGGATTGTGAAACAACCACTTAGAATATCCAAGATGAAAATCAACGGAAGAAAATTATTAAAAAGTTCATAAAAAGATTCCGAATCAAGTTTTCCTGCAATATAATCCATTTAAATATAAGTAAACAGTATTTACTTTCCTAATAGCCTCTACAATACATGTGTTAAGTTACAAAAATAAAATAAAAAGGCATGTCGTTTCCTTCCAGTGGCCTAACCACGAAAGATAATGAAGGCTTTAAACAACGACTCGGGTCTGCCTTCCGCCTGTAGTTGTCTGCAAGACAGATGGCTGTCCTTCAGCACCTGATTCATTTGTTGTTTTGTATAAGGAACATTAATCACAAGGTGATTTCAGGATAAATAAAATATTTAAGGTTTCACTACAAGAGACCTTTATAAAGAAGACCCCACAAACAGTACAGAATGGCCCTGGCCACCACACCAGAGGTGCTCACGCACTCCGCCCGCCGACAGCAGGTGGCTCAGAAACCCCACCCTGCTCGCCACACCAAGGGGCAGGGCCGCTTCTGTCCTGCAGCTGCTTAACGAGCACCTACTCGACCCCACGCACCAACATGGCACCTACTCGACCCCACGCACCAGCATGGCACCTACTCGACCCCACGCACCAGCATGGCACCTACTCGACCCCACGCACCAGCATGGCACCTACTCGACCCCACGCACCAGCATGGCACCTACTCGACCCCACGCACCAGCATGGCACCTACTCGACCCCACGCACCAGCATGGCACCTACTCGACCCCACGCACCAGCATGGCACCTACTCGACCCCACGCACCAGCATGGCACCTACTCGACCCCACGCACCAACATGGCACCTACTCGACTCGACCCCACGCACCAACATGGCACCTACTCGACTCGACCCCACGCACCAACATGGCACCTACTCGACCCCACGCACCAGCATGGCGCCTACTCGACCCCACGCACCAACATGGCACCTACTCGACCCCACGCACCAACATGGCACCTACTCGACCCCACGCACCAACATGGCTCGTTCATGGAACCCTCTGCTCTTCTGTCTGCTTTACGTCCTCAATGTGAAAAGCAAGAGACTTGATGGGAGCCATTCATGAAAAGACAACAGAGTAAAAAGATACTGTATTCTGTCAAGGAAACTGAGGTCCTACTAGGGCACCTCCATATTTAAAATATTGAAAATGTTTATATTATGTAGCCTAAAATAGGACATCAAGCCAGAAGAGGCATTCCAACGTCAAGTTTATTTTCATTCCTGAAATGAACCCATCAGAGAATGTGACCAGAGTTTGCTAATTATACCTGAGACCAGCACTGTAATGATTAGGAAAACCCCAAATACTCAATCTCACCGGCTGTGGGTAAGTGGCTTTCTGGTCAAGTTGGAGGATGTCATGGTGACTGCCCTGTCAAATGCTTCCCGTGCCCGTCAAAGACACAGCTGATCTGGTGAGTTACATCAGATCCGCTGCTGAGCCCTCCCACACCCCAGGAAGCTAGACCCTGTCCCAGAGAGCTGTTCTTCGGGTCACGGATATATTCAGCTTGCTAACATTTTACTCAAGATTCCACAACTCGAAGAGAGACCTGTTTTGCTGCCTTTTTCTTGGTATGTGGAGGTATTCTTGGTCCTTTTCATAACGGGATTATACAAACCTTAGAGAGCTGTTTATGATACAATTTCTTAATATCTAAACCAGCAAAATTGGGGGGGTGAAAACTGATCGCAACAACACCTGCTGCTGTAATGGCTGGAGCAGTAAACCAGGAAGCCGACCAGGTGAGAGAAGCGGAGGAAAGCACAGCAGACGCAGTCAGCGGGAACGCCACACAGCCCAGGAGAGACTGCAGTAGGCTCTGTGGCTCTGGTTCTCAACACACGTACCCACCTCCACAGCCAAAGGACTGGCTGAGAACTAAGATGGGTAAAGTATAGCCCTGGCCGGTCTGGCTCAGCGGTTAGAGTGCTGGTCTGCGGACCAGAGTTGTGGGTCCAATCCCAGTCAAGGGCACGCACCTCAGTTGCGGTTTGTCCCTGGCTCTGGTCAGGGTCGAGCGGGAGGCAACCAGTCGATGCGTCCCTCTCACACTGAGGTTTCTCTCTCTCCCTCCCTCCCTCCCACTCTATCTGAAGATGAATGGAAAAATATCTTCGGGTGAGGATTAAAAAAAAAGGATGGTTAAAATATAAAGAACGTGGAACCCCTCTGGAGCAAACGCACTACATGGAGGTGACGCGCCCAAGCGCTGTGGGACACAAGGCCTTCGCGTGGAGGTGCCGGAGGCAGAGGTCTCAGCTGGAAGTCAGCCCCCCAGACTAGGACGGGGGGGTGGAAGGGAATGGCCACTTTCTGCTGTCATCGCCACCTCACCAGAGAGTGTGACCAACGAACGGGTCCTACTGCCTGCAAGTCTTCAAGACGTTAGTCATGTAAGAAAAAAAATGACCTAGGCGTGTAACACGCAGCATGAAGGATCTTTTAAGAAGATTATATAGTTTTATCTCAAGAGGTCCAAAAATTACAATTCTGTGTATGTCACATGTAACACAAATTTTAACTCCTCAATGAAAGCTGAGACTTCAAGTAGGCTGGCTAAGAAAAGCATGAGTCACTGTACCTCTTCTTCAGCAGGGAGTCGCAGTACCGGGCCAGCAGCTCGGGGGACTTACTGGACGACTGAGCCATCTTGGTGACGGCGTTGTTGTTTATGAAGCGTCCACAAGCCTGCGATCACAGAGACCAGTCAGAGGGCTGGCGCCACGGTCACCCGCAGAGCCACACGCCCACACACCCACCTTGTCCAGGGCGGCCACGAAGCCCGCGTCGTTGTTGAACGCTGACATGACCAGGGCGTTGTACTTCTTATGCACGTCCAGCACTGTCTGCACGTACATCTTGGGGTCCTGGCAGAGGAAACACACAAAAGGGGATTAAATTGGTACTAATGTGCTACTACGGGTATTTCTTCATACGTTCATGAGTGAGTCAGAAATAGTTTTGGTTCCATCATCAAGACATACAGGACATTTTGTTTACAGATACAGTTAAATATATTCTCCACACCTGAAATTAAATACTAATTTCAAGTTTGTAGGAAAAACAGTGATTTTAAAAATTATTCGAAAAGTCAGAGATCACAGGAAAACAGTTTTCAAAGAGATGGCTTTGCTTAGCCAGTTTTTGTTGTTAACAGTTCAAATTCTGGATTCTGTTTGGGCCGGGAGAACGGTCACCCAGTGAGCGAGCACCAGCCGCAGGCAGTGCAGAGGGTGCAGGGTGGGGCCGACGAGCAGACTCCGCAGCAAGGGCTGACCACTCCACTGACTGAGCCAAAGACTCCCCTGGACAAAGGGAACTAAGGGGGGAAGGCCAGAGCCTAGGGGACAGGCAGGCAACTGTGGGTCTCTGGACACAGGAAATGACGGGAACAGAATGTCAATGCCAGACACGGGGGCGTCCGGATGGATACAGAAGGAAGACAGGACGGATGGGGGCAAAGGACGCAGACTGGAGTGACGATGAGAACAGAGTGGCTGACACTGAGGGTGCGCTGCACAGGGACCGTCACCATCACCCTGTGACGCTGGTCCTATCTGCACCCCCATTTCACAGGGGAAGCATCCGGCCACGGGCTTCAGTGGCAGCAGCGTCAGGCCGGCACCCGGAGCCCGACGCCCGAGCCCAGCGCCTCCTCCAGAGCGCAGGCGGGGAAGCCGAAGGGCCGGCGAGAGAGGCTGAGGCTGAGCCCAAGCAGGATCAGGCCTGAGGCGCGGGGAGCCTAAATGGTTTGCAAATGTTTCCAACTTCTTTTTTTTTTTTTATCCTCACCCGAGGACATTTTTCCATTTTTTGTTCAGGTAGAGTGGGAGGGAGAGAGAGGAACAGAGAGAGACATCGACGTGAAGGGATACATCGAGTGGCTGCCACACGCAAAACCGACCAGGGGGCCGGGAACAAACTGCAACCGAGGTACGCGCCCTCAGCGGGAACCGAACCCGGGTCTCTCAGGACCGCAGGCCGACGCTCTGACCGCTGAGCCAAACCGGCCAGGGCTGATTCCAACTTCTTGACAGATATTAATCCTCAGCACTCAAGAATGAGAAACCAGAATTCCCCAAATTTTAACTATTCTGCATTTCTGTAACACTTTGTTTTTCAATAATAATGAGTAACCATCAAGAGTATCGTCATTGTTATAGGGTTGTATAGGGTTATAATCAGAGTATCAGAGGTGTTCTGTTACAATAAAGACGCGCTTACTGTTACTATGAACAAATGTACCTGATACAGATGTTTGAGAAGAGTACACAATAAAAGGAAACCTAACACAAAATAATTTCAAAATAAAAATCATTTAAGGCATTAAAAGCTACTAGCACATGCACTCACTAAACATGCTCCATCTCACCCTGAAACAGCAGCGTGGGCGGCCCAGTGGCTGCCCTGCTCCCGTCTGATGGCGAGCGGCCCCGACGCGGAGGGTCTGCGGGTGGCAGGCCGTCCGGTTCACAGCGCACCTTGCAGAGCCCAGGTGGGCACACCCTACCTACTCCACGCACACGGATTTCTTTTACATGAAAACAGTGTCTGTTGGACTTACTTTAGGTTTTACATTGATATCGAAAATGCTTTTGCCAATTAGGATTTTAGATCGCTTTCCAATTTCATGTCAACTTATTTCACAACATTCACTTATTTTTCTTTTTACATTTTCCTGTTAAAGTATTTACAAAAAAAGCTTACCCTACAGCAAGTATCCAAACACTAGAAAATGCCAGCAAACATTATTGGGTAGTATTTGAGTAAGATAACTTTCAAGGTCAAGGTCAACACATTGCAAAAAACTGCAGGTCAATATCACCAACTTAAGGACTTGTTTTGCTTCCAAAACTTGCTATTTCGTGGACCACCACTCCCACGATCTCAGAGGATTACATCACGTATACTGTGTACATCAACGTATTAATGTGTGTCCATCGCAAGAATGACTCACCCTTGGCATCGACGAGGGCCACGCTCACACATCTCTAACTGGCACCCACGGGGCAGAGGGCTGGCGAGGCCCTGGGCTTCTCCCCACGCGCTCCACCCCAGGCCAGACAACCTTCGACCTCCACTGCACACTGGCACCCACCCTTGCTCTGGACTGTCTCCAACAGACTCCTCTGAACCAGGAATATCTCTGAGTTGACTATTATGCTGGCAGGAAAATTATCTACTTTCCCTTGTTTTCTTGATCAAATTTTCTCAGACTCAAGACTTGGAAAAATATAAATATCTAAAAAAAATGCCAAGAAAGATTTTTCCATGGAAAGACAAATCTTCCCCAAGAACATAGATGTCTTCAGACTCCAATATCAAAATTCTTTTTTTTTTTTTTTTTAATCCTCACCTGAGGACATTTTTTCATTTTTTCTTCAGATAGAGCGGGAGGGGGGGAGAGAGAGAGAGAGAGAAACATCGACGTGAAAGGGAGTAGCTGCCACCCGCACGACCCAACTAGGCTGGGGACAAACTGCAACTGAGGTATATGCCCTTAGTGGGAACTGAACCCGGGACGCTCTAACCGCTGAGCAAAGCCGGCCAGGGCTCAAGATTCTTTCTCCTACAGAAGACGACGCAGCCAGGAGCCTGGCTGGTGAGGAGCGGGTTGAATGGGACCCGCTAAGGGAAGACTGTGCTGCAGCACTGAGCCTTCGGGATCTGCATTCAGCATCAAGACCCAGAGCAGAGGCGCTGAGGAACCTGACAAGGGCAGATGGAGACAGGCACATGCCGGGATGACACAGAGGAGAGGATCTGAAGGAAAGAGCAGCCGGCAGTGCACACGGAGCAGAGACGTTCAGAGGATGAACGATGAACAGCCATGAAGCAGATGAAGACCTTCAGGCATTTTGGAGGGAGCCACTGCACCTCTGAGTGGCAAGAAGCAGGAAGGACAAGATCGGTTGGGTCAAATGCATTTTCAAGAAAATGAAGACTTGGGGATTTTCAATGTTTGAAAATGAAGGGAGCCCTGGCCGGTTAGGCTCAGAGGTCAGAGTGTCGGCTTGCAGACCAAGGAGTCTTGGGTTCAATTACAGTCAAAGGCACATACCTCGGTTGTGGTTTGGTCCCTGGCCCTGGCTGGGGTCATGCAGGAGGCAACCAATCAATGTATCTCTCTCACTTTGGTGTTTCTCTCTCTCTCCCCCTCCCACTCTATATGAAAATAAATGGAGAAATATCCTTGGGTATAGATTTAAAAATAAATAAAAAATGAAGGGAGTAGTGACTGGTTTGCTCCTCGCCATTCTTTGTTCAGTACGTAAGAGCTGTCCCTGAGGGACCCCATCCAACTCCCTGGGATTTCAGGTGTCCTTACTGTGCAGTCATGGTCACAGATCTCCGGGCGAGACCCCATTCGCCACTGAGCTCACACACCTGCCCTCGGGTGGGAGCGTCTCCAGGGTCCCAGAGCTGCTCAGTGCCCGTGCCCCTGCCCCTGCCCCTCTTCTGGATTGCTCTCTCTCCACTTCTCTTCTTCCCATTTTTCATTTCTTTTTTTGGGGAAATTTTATAAGAGTTTGAGCCAAACTGAAGGCATGTGACGCGAAGAGACATCTCAAATGCTCTGCTTCCATTTCTTGACTTTCAACATTTTATTGTGAAGAAGAATTCCAATATGTTCAAAATGACAAACAAAAGTAAGATGCACCACGTGCTTATCATCCACCTTCAACAAGGAGCAAACACAACCTGTCCATTACGATTTCTCTCTCCAACTCCCTCATCCCTCCACACACCACCACCTACCCGCGTCATTCTCCATTCGAACCGCCGTACCAACCTAACTGGCCTACCCATAGCCGCCTTCATCCTGTCAACCCACCTTCTACACAGTGCCTACTTTCAGAAACAGAAATTAGTCCTGGCCAGGTAGCTTAGCTGGCTGGAGTGTAGTCCTGATATGCCAAGGCTGTGGGTTCGATCCCCAGTCAGGGCACATACAAGAATCACACAATGAATGCATGCATGAGGGGCAATGCTCTATGCATCTCTCATAGATGTTTCTCCTCTCAAACCAATGAGCACATCATCGGGTGAGGAGTGAATAAACAAGAGCGTAACGGGGGACAAAGCTGGAGGGGAGCTGGCGGCCACGCAGCAGGGTCTCCTCCTCTTCACCAGTGTCCACACACCCTGTGGGCGCCCGCACTGAGCTGCAGAGGATGAGCACAGTGAGGGGCAGCCTGCCAGACTTAACACACGTACACAGTGGCACACGGCAGATTCTCTAAATGCCTCGTGAGGTGAGGACGGGGGTGCAGTCACTCAGGGCAGAACTGGAGTGGAGAACCCTCTTCAGACGGGTCTGAGCTGCCCAGGCTGCAGGACTCACGCACCAGGAGGCAGGTGGGCGAAGCGAGGCGGGGCGCTGCTGGGGCGCGGGAGCTAGCAGCTCCCTAAAAGACAAGGCTCATCAAAATGGGGCAACTTAGAAGAGGATTTTGTTTAATATTGTAGATTTAATATATTATTGTAGAGAAGAGAGTGTACTAAAAGAAATGAATGCGAAATAAAATGGTTATGCATTAAGTAGCATTTCTGAAAGAGTAAACCGCTCAGCGTTCTGAGGGACAGACGGGAACGGGAGAGACAACAGGTCATTAGCAAGATGAAGGGCCCAGGTTGAGATGGCAGCTCTGGGACTGGAGAGAAAATGCTCAGAGAGCCGAGGAAATGCCATGTCTCCACTCCGCCTCCTGGTCTGAGGGCGCTGAGCTGTGCCCAGGCTCGGCGGGAAAGCCCCACATGCGATTACTGATGCCACCAGGGCCAAGGAGAAGGCAGGGACACACACTGTGCAGCTGCCACCTCTGCGCTGAGATCAGGGGAAGGCAGACAGACACGTGTTTAAAAT